GGGGGATTCAGACCGGGGGGAGATCCAGGATGAAAAGTGACCTCCTGATGAGCAGCCTTGAGCGGGCCTGCTGTCATCATCCTCTGCCATCATGCTGAAAAGCCCCAATGACTCAAAGAGCTGGAGATGACACAGCGTTTCCATGTCGTCTGACTACCTGCAAGATAAGAACATTTAATAGAAAATGACCTAAACTCTGTAAGTAAGGTGTGGTGAAGTTGTTTCAAAGGAGAACCCCATTAGTTTGAATTCCAATTACTGGCATACAGGTTAACATGTTAGAGCACTGGCAATAAGCACTTAGATAAATGTTCAGCATTTGAGGAAATGGAAAGTTAGATGTGAAAATTAATACGTTTGTGTTAAGTATTGAGCTGGAGCCAGCCATAGTTTGCTTAGCTCAATCCAAACTGTTGTTTTTACATTTCTGTTTGTGTCATTATTAAACAAATGAGACACAACATGCTAACTGGTGAGCTTTACAGGTGCTAGTTGTTGGATTTTGTTACCTTTTGGGCAGAGCCAGGCTAACTGTTTCCCTCTGTTTGCTGTCTTTATGCTAAGCTAAGCTAATAATCACCTCCTGACTTTAATTGCGTACTGACAGAATAGACATGAAATTTGCAAAACCTGCATCAACAAAGTAGAAGCTGAAACTAGAAATTACAAATAACAAGACATTATATTTGCATAAACTTGCACTATTTGTTCATCTAATCATTCGCCGGAATGTTTCGGAGGGTAAAGATGTCTGAACTCTATTTCCTCCCCTTTTACAGAATTGAACTCACTCACACTTGAGTTTGGGACATAAATATGAGTCATAAAGTGGGAAACATACTTTGGCATACATTTAAACCTCATAGTGGTGCAAGATAAAAAGTTGGGGAATCAAATTTTATGCCAATACTTTCCCTAAACCCTGAGAATTTCAACCCGCTGATGGAGGAAAAGTCGGAGGGTCACCAAATCAATAGACTAAATCTTATGGAGACATTAACAAGGCGATTATATATCTATCTAATAATCGTTGAGATATTTCACTCTGAGCCAAAGTCATGAACTGACCAACATTGCCATCCCTGTGTACTGTATAAGTATAAACGGATGTGAACAATCTCATCCTCACTCTCCTTTTACACTTCCTCTCTCTCCCTGAACTTTCCTCTATTTATTCTCTCCTCTTTTGCCCTCGGCAGCACTCCTCATACTGTTGACGACTGTAGACCGAAGCATGCTGGGACTGCAGCAGCAACTATCATGAATAGACCTCTGTGTCATACACAATAACTGCTGAATACAGACGGATAATATATATTATATCAGTGGATATGAATGATTAATATGACCCCGGTTTGAATAGAGCAGAGTGAAAAGACTCCTGTCATGTTCTCTTCTCTGCTTCACTTCAAACTGCAGAGAAGCTCAAACAAGAGAAGCTTTGAGCTGTTGTTGTATTTCATTGCGAGTATGTGTGTGGCAGATAACAGCATGTCATGGAGGGAGATCAGAGCTGCGACAGACCGATGGCACTCTGTCAGGGACGACTGGAGGACGCTGCTCTCATTGTGATGATACGAGAGGTGACTGTAATCTTTTTTGTCCTCTCCCCGTCTTTCTCTCTTTCTCCCTTGCAATTACAAAGCATGTGAACATACATTTTTTCAAATTGATTTCATATCTTACTTTCAGCAGCAGAGAAATACACGGTTAAAATAAGAAGCTGTTCACTTCTCTCCTTTCCTTGTCCTTTGCTTCGAGCCATCAGGTGCATCAGGACAGCTGCTCAGCTGATTGGGCTCCCGAGCGATGGATTGAAAGGTAACTTGCCAGATATCGATTGCCTGCGAGGCTCTGACCTTAACGGGAGCAGGCTTAGAGTAAAGCTACAATATTATCTGTACTGCTGTTCAGCCTTCTGTTGGGTATTTTTTTTGTGAAATATTGACTCTGGGTTATTAAGAGAGCCAAGTATCCTGACAAAACATCATGCAGAATGCCAGGAAACTGAAATAATAAACTGTAGATAAAATTAGATTGGCCCTGTTGGTTTTGGAAGATAAATTACGTTTATTCACCTAGTAAATGTTCTTGTCTTTCTCACAAAGTGTCCATCATATTCTCTGTCAGCAAGCCATTAGGGAAAAGTTTTCCTCCTCCAATCTAGTCCCAACCTGTTCCTAACAAAACACTCGGTTCACGGTAAATGCCAGCAGGAGAGATTTCCCCCTCCCCTCTTATTTTATCTGTCCTTGAAGCAGCACCACTGCCATCATCTTTGTCCCAAGCCTCCAATTTCATCCTCTGAGGAATTATGTGCTTGTCTGTCACTTACTCAATATCTTTCTCCTTTATCTCTGAGAGAGACAGGAAGCATCATATGCTGCCATTATTTTGGACATTTTTATCAGCTATTGGGGAATTTTTAGAAGAGGAAATTTAACTGAGTAATTACCAGATTCCTTTTCATTCCGTAAGTACATTTGTTGGTGTGTCATGTGCCTTTTAAAAATTCATGCAAAATGTACAAATACCTAAACTGATTTTTGAGGGATGTGGGAGTGAGTCAAAAGTGTGTCAGACTGGGAAAAAAACAATTTGTGGGGTGCCCAGTGTGCAGGGTCACTGGTTTACAATACAAACAAACCACATAACTGCAACAACTTTGGTTCAACTTCAGCTGGGGATTTCCCTGCATGTCATCTCTCCCATAGTTTCCTGTTTCCCTATCCTATGTAGTATAGTATAAGAATCACTTCATAGTTAGAACTGAACTCAAGCAAAAAGTCTAGGAAATCAAAACAGACAAAATCCTCTGAATTGATTCTCAGTTTCATCAGCAACATGTTCACATCATGCGTTTAAATTAATCTACAGTGTTTTATGTAGAATACTGAGGAATATTGTTCTTCTGTAAAAGTGGGTGTTATGGATTTGTGTTAGGAGCCACACTATGCGTTGTTTGTTTCATGACGTCGGACCTATATAAGAACTATATTCAAAAATACTGTATTTATTGTCTTAAGTATACTTGACTCATATATATTGAACTAATACATATATGTATGTATGTAGCCAAAAAAGATTTGATCCTTTTTCATATATGTAGTAGTACTACCCAAGACATGTAAACTTTGACATGTAAAAGGTGGAGATCCATTAAGATCAAGTTTTATTACACTAATTAGGCTACACCTGAAGTGGCATCAGTTTAATGCCACGCTGTTGTGCAATTTCTGAAAACATAAAAGGTATAGTTATTGAGTACATTGTACACTCAGAGTATTTTTAGAAAATTCATTGTAGTTTCTGGCTGGCTGCCCGTCACCCACGGTCAACAGTTTGGCTGCTGACTGATTGTAATTTCCCTCCTTGTGTTGAAGGTTGAGTGAAGGTCACTGAGGAGCACTTCCTCTTCTGTATGTCCGCTCTCATCTGTCTCATTTCTGCATGCCAGACCTTATGCTGCACTTTTTTTTGTCTTGTCTTATTAAATTTGTAGGTCAGGTGAGGGAGCAGATCACCAAAGCTTTTTTGAAATGAAATGCTTTAATTAACTTTTATCAATGAATCAATGGGCCTGTATCAATAGATCCCTCCCCTCCCTTTGGAAATGTCATAGTCACTACTGATATTTTTACTTCCTGCAAGTCATAGCCTGTCGGTTCGGCTATTTTTACACCTACCTTGTGTGTGTGTGTGTGTGTGTGTGGTGGTGGTGGTGGTGGTGGTGGTGGGGGGGGGCAATAGTTAATGAGCAGAGTGAATGCAGATAAAACTCAAACACTTCTACAGTTTCTTCCACATCTCTCTCTCTGGTGTTGTAATGCTAATAGTAACAGAGAAACACTACTTTTTCTTGTTTCTGAAAAATGAATTGTAACATTAAATTTTGTACAAACATTCATGGTCCCTGGAGGATAAATCCTAATGGTTTTAGTGATGCCCTGACTTTTTCTTTAATGCCACCATGAATTTGCCTTTTAATTTTTGGATGTGAGTGAAATGTCTAGACAACTATTGGATGGATTGCAACGAAACTTTCCCTATCATCACTTCAAAATTTCATTTTTTTTTTTCAATTTTAAGATTCCTGAGCATACAATACCTGTAAAATGAATGACATTCCCATCAGCCTCAGCTCTATTTTGTATTAAGTGCTGACTAGCAAATAAATGTCAGCATGCTAACATACTAAATTGAGATGGTCAACATTGTAAACATTACCTAACATTGTCACCGTGCGTTTATTAACTGATGCTGATGTTGGCATAAACCTCAAAGTATTGTTGTGTCTTAGTACAGCGCAGCAAACTGTAGACGTCTCCTCTCACTGTGCAGTTTCCTCTCTCTCCATGTCCCACTTTATTCCACAAGTGATTTGGGGATGTTGCACATTAAGCCAAGCTAATTGATTTAGCTTAAAATGCTCTCAGTGCACTAGCTCATCAATCTGCCTTTCTTCTGGGTGTGACCTCAGTGCTCCTGCTTCCTAAAATGAGCATGAAATGAAATGACTAATCCACTTAAATTAGTCATTTCAACAAAAAAATATGTCTGCCAGCCTCTTTTTTTTTTTCCACTTTCACTGAAGGGTGTTAAAAGCAAGGATGTTTGGTGATGCTCTGTTCTTTAACTCAACGAGTTTAAATGCACTTAACAAGTATAATATTCATTGGGACATAAATATGTCCTACATCATTTCCTGTGAGAGCGTAACATTGGACGTTAGACCATTTATTTATAATGTGCACAGTCAATTCGTCATATTTCTCTGCATTTCTTGGTAGTTCCCTTCCTTTACCTTTTTCAGTTTTTCTTTGGTCTCTTTGGTATTTTAGTTGTCACTCCCAAGCTGCTGCAGTGTACATTACTGTGCGTTCTTTTCTCTCCTTCTGACAGGTTGGATTTCAGCATGGCTCCTTTACCTCGGTAAACTTTCCACCCACCTGGGAATGAGGCCCTGTCATCTACTGTGCATGTAGGTTTTCTGCATGCAAAGTGTTTTATAGGTTTTGTCTGTCTGTGACAGCTCTCCATTGCAGTTTTTTCCCAACACCGTATTTCCTCAAGAGGTCCTTGAACTGCTCTTCCCTGTCAGAGTCCCTACTTCTCACAGTTCCCTCAATAAGTTCATCACTCCAACTATTTTCGACTCATCTAATGAATCCCCACAGGTTTGTCAGTGTACGTCTGTCTCTATCTTATTGTGAAATATACAGGAACATAACATCCTTGTTAAAATGGATCAATTATGGGAACACACACTGTTCTCTCAATGTCTATATTTCTGTCTAAACTGTACAGAAACATCCAGAACATGAGCAGGCAGGGCCTCTCTACGTTCACCAGACGATCAGAAGAAACTGATCTGGGATCAGATCTTCACCTTATCAAGGTATGTTGACTCTAAGCTAGCTGGCTGACAGTCTAACTCAGAAATGCATTGTAACAGAACAAACCCTTTGCCCTTTAAAGTAATGTGCAGTGTTTTGGGGGCTCAGTGTATTTAATGTAAATGTAGTTGTCTGGCTCCCCCTGCTGTTTGAAAGAGCCCATAATTGATCATACTGGTTTTCATCTCAGCCTGCCAATAATCTGGGATGCCTGGTAAATAAAAGGAATTAGCTGGTAGGATAAATTGTGTGTCCTTTTTTTAATTTTTTTAATCCAGAAATGTTATTTCCTCTCACCAGGCAAATTTACAGTAATAGCTTCATATTTTTTCAAGATGGTGGACACAAACTAGTCTCTGTCTGCATGTACATCAGAAAAAACAGAAACGAACTGTTCCTCGGTTGTATCAAGTTTCCACATTGTACTTGTGTAAATTATGCTGTATGTTGAACCATCAATGCCTCCCAAACTAATTCGCACAAACGCTCTCACATGAGAAACGTTCCCTCTTCAGCAAATTAATGTGAAAAAAAAACTTTCTGGTGTCAAAATCTGCACTGACATTATTCTGAACAGTGAGGCTCAAACATCCAGGTGAAGTAAAAGCAGTGAAGGGTGACTTAAAATCCCAAACTCTTCTCACTCAAATCAAACTACTAAGAGCCTCAAGCAAAGGCATCTCGTCTTTTAAGGCTTTATATTGTCACTTGCATATTTCCCATCTTTTGTATCTCTCTTGTACCTTTGATCGTTGCAGCAGCTCAGGTTGACCTCCACACTTTGCTAGGACTTCATGGAGTTGGTGCCTGTCCTATTTCCAGTCCCCAGGGCAAGGCCTGGCAAGGTCGTAGACAAGGGAGATCTGCCTCGACCAAAGTACTGCTTCCCCTCACAGCTGCAGCGGGGCAGACAAGGTGACGGCTGAAAGTGATTCATGGGTGTGCTGGACAGCATTTAATCAGAGCGTAACTCAACCCTTTTACCCAGTGCTGAAATAACTAATAAGCATCAGAGGAAAGAGTGGCTTTCGACTGATCTGGTTAGTGCTCACTTTATAGCATTGGGCAAATGTGTGCGTTGTTATTTTCTGTTTTAGCAAAGCATTAGAATCGTGTGTGTATCAACAGATACAATGACGTCTCGCAGATCAATTAAAGCCACAACAAACACTCAGACTGCGTTGTTGCCCTGGACATCACACGCACATAAGTGTGTGTACAGTATATTGTATGTGTGTGTGAATTTCTGAGATGTGTGGATCTTTCAGGGCCAATAATGTCAATCAAAATCTTTCACTCTCTATCAAAAGAAGCTGAAACTATTATTCTGTTAATTGTTTAGTTGACTGACAGAAAACTGCTATTTTCTAAAAAATGCCAAAAATGAATTGGCTTCAGCTTTGTAGGGATGAGGAGAGGAGTGGTTTCAACAGCCCTCTTGTTTTACTTCTATTTCTATCACTTCTTTTCTTCTACTGAAGTTAGCATGCTAACCAGCTAGCTGTTAGTCTTGTCACTTTCAAGAGCTACCGAGTCACAAGAGCATCCAAGTTGCTCAGAGGGCTTATTATAACCTTTTGTGTTTTAAACGTGACGGCCGAAGCTCTTGGAAAGATTAGTTGGTGAACAGCTGTTAATGCTAAGCAACAGCCAAATTTACAACTAGCTCCTTTAATTCAAGTACAAGTACCTCAAATAAGTACTGCATTTAAATTAATGTATATTCCACTGCTGGTGACTTGAACCTTAAAGTGATACACGTACTGTATGTCTGTGTTTCACTGTATGTGTCTCTTCTCACACTTTGTCTTGTTCTATAATGAGTTTGGGTGGAGCCACAATATGCAGACAGAAACTGAGTTTTTCTCCACCTCCAGGTGTCTCATTGGTTTACAATGCCTTTAAAGGGATTTGATGTCTACTTGCTGTCCTTCATCACAGATTCCAGTGCATACACTAAACCGTCAGACACTTAGCTAAAGATTAATTTCTAATTCTCAGACTGATTTTGTTTTAACATTATTAAAGGTAATACAAACAAGGTAAGTCCAGTAATTCACAAGAGACAAAAAAAAGGAGCAAAGTTTGGGATATTTTGTCTTTTGCCCTGCTTTCCAGGGGTTGTGAGTTGACTGTGTTGGTAGTCGTCTCATGACCCTTGAGATTTGTCTTGTAACCCCTGGGATGGACCATGACCTCCAGATTGGAGAGCACTGAAGAGAATCACAGTTACAATGAGTTTGCTGATGACACAACATTGTTCACCTTCATCTGTATAATCAGGAGTCTCTATTTGATTTCTAAAGTGAGTTACATAACATTTTATGAAAATTAGCTATGAATAAATAAAAGTCTGTCTCATTTTTGGGGCACTTTATTTTCAGAACACTGTATACTAAGTGAATGGATTTCCCTTTTGAGATAGCAAATTTGTAAGTCAATGTGATGCTTTTGCAGAGAGAGGAAGGATATGTTTTTTTCGGAAAATACAAAGAGAGACAAGGTTCTACAAAACGATATCGACTGTGACACAGCAGCACTGCCAGAGCTGCCGTTTAACCCCAATAAGGGTAAATGTGATCTGAGGTCTAATTTGAATCAACACATCATGTACCTTTTTGTTAAAAGAGGGAAATACATATTTTTAAAGTGCAATTTTATTGCAGTTTATCTTCAAATTGCTTTCACAGCTCAGTCATTTGGCAGCTGCTTAAGAGCCCCCCCACACACACACACACACACACACACCACCCCCCACCCCGCCCTCCCTCCCTCTCTGTCTTTAATTACGTGCCATGCATTTAAGTGTCAGCTCAGGTTTGGCAGTCTGTCTGTTGTCTGCTAAATAAAACATGAAGTGTCTATTTCTGTCCTCTCCAAAAACACTGTGCGCAGGAAGTGACTACTGATGCTGCTGCTGTTTACCAGGCATGTTGTCAAAGACGCATCTGTTACTTCATCTGAGGCTTGAGCTTTGATTAATGACTCTGTTTTCTTACACAAAAACATATGTGGACTCATTTTCTATATATTTTGATTTATAGAGAGAAATTCTTAATTAAATATCACAGTATTATGAGAATTGTGGAGCCTATTATTATTATTGAATGATTGCATTGGGATATTGTTTGAATGAGTAGCTTGGCCTGTGAATGACTGAAGGCAGCTGCAGGTAAAAAGCAGTCCTAAGAAAAAAAGTCATACTTAACACATAACATCATTTTATTGGCTTGACACATAATGACTTTTCCTAATTTTATAACAGCTGTTTATAAACATGATTTTGACCTGATGTCAGCTGTACTTTTCAGGCACTACCCTCCAAAAGGCTGGGAGTTTGGGTGCTCTGGCAGTAAAAGTGAGTATAACATCCTGTATTCACTGTCTGTAAATGATGTAAACAAAATAAATGTTTGTTCGGAGGATCTGGTCTAAAAAACACTTTTTATTTCATAATAATCACAATTTGTTATTAACAAACGCAGACTAGATGGAATTGAAACCTCTAAATGTAAATCAATCCAAGTGTTAATTTGAGCACCCCTCATAGTAAATATAAAGAGTAAATATATCACATCCTAATTTGAAAAAAATGTACTTCCTTTTAAAAGGGCGCTTTGACAATCAAAATGGAGCTGCGCGCTGCAGGCAAACATTACGGTAGGAGAGTCTCCAGGTACAGGTGCAGGTGATTGACAGGTGAGAGAGGTGACGCATCAGGAGGCACCGCGAGGGCAAAGGGAAGGTAGCCTATAGACTGGATTATTTCGTGAGCCAACAGGCACTGGTATGGATGTTAGAGGTCGACGGGAATATTAAGGTAAGTTCAGTAATATTACCTTAGTTAATGTTAGCATCATAAAGTACAAGACACGTGATGGTGATCAGATCTTCGCATGGTTTGTTCATCGCTTTGACTCTTAAATGTCCCTGTAGCTCATCTGTTTCAGAGGAGAACAGAGGAGAGATCCTGATTGAATATGACAAGAACAGAGGTCAGAACTTCTAGTGATTTTATACCTGATGACAACCAGTCAAACCTGTTGGGTAACCACTGAAATCTCTATTGGAAAATAAAATTCACAATCAATATACAGTATCCTTACAACGCAGTGATAGATTGTTTTAGCTTACAGCTGTTGAATATTGATTGATTATGTTAATTCATTCTTATGTGATTCATGAAGATGTGTTGAAATATAGTCCCAGTTAAAGTTGTATTCAAAGTTTGATGTCACCACCATCAGGTTGGTAAAATGTGTGTTAGAAATGAAAATTTAAAAAAAATGTTGTTCATTAGTTTGATATACATAATTAACACGTTAATAACAATAGTGTATTCTGTCAATTTTAGTGCTTTTAACAATTTTCACCCTTTTAATACCCATTAACAAACAGTGATCAGTCATTATAAAACTCATGTCATGAGGTTGAAATACACAGAACCGAATTTTAAATAATAGTGGAGATCCCAAAGTTATATTTCAGGCCAAGTTTGAGTGAATTGTGTATAAAATGATGCAAAATCTGATGGGATGGTACAGCCATCAAAAGTCTTCTAATCGTCGTGTGTGTGTGTGTGTGTGTGTGTGTGTGTGTGTGTGTGTGTGTGTGTGTGTGTGTGTGTGTGTGTGTGTGAGAGAGAGAGAGAGAGAGAGAGAGAGATTCATTCTTTACAGGTCAAACTTTAATGATACTAAAACAATGAATAACCAATATTTCCCCTCCTTCAACCCTCCAGGACGTCTATGGAGCTGTGTGGTCCCAACATGAGTGAGAGTGGAGGCTCTCTGTGCCAGGTGAAGCAGCTTCCCTGCCACACCGCCCCCCTTTGTCGCCTGCAGGCCGGTGGACATCACATGCACAACCTCCCCCACCTCACCCACCCGCCGTGGGCCAACCACCCAGCCCCAGCCGTCGTCTCCAGCCCGGCTGTGGCCATCCGACACAGGGTAAATGGAGCCACGGCGGCCAGCTGCAGCAGCCCGGACTGCACGGCCTCTAGACTGGAGGAGGAGGTGGCACTGGCCCGGGGCACCTCCAAAGGGAAGGTGGTGGTGACAGGAGGAGGGGGATATTTTGGTTTTAGGCTGGGGAGGGAACTGGCCCGTCAGGGGCTGTCAGTGATCCTTCTGGACATGAACAAGCCTCCCTGTGATGTCCCTGATGGTGCAATCTTCTATCAGGTATGGGACAGTGGAGAGGGGCCTGACTAATACCTGCTGTGTCCTTGTAAATTTCCTTTATATTTCTGTTTTTCCAGTTTTTCCTGCACTTCACCTAATAACTTTGCCCCTCAGTGATTTAGTACAAGCCAATACTGTTACAGTCCAATTGTATAGGACACATAACAGTGACAATGGTTATGCAGCCATACAGTTGCGTTTATTTCTTTTTCTCTGGCATATGGCCAATAACACTGTCCCTTCACTTGTAACATTTTATAAAATTTTTGCACAGACAAGCAGCCATCTAAAGTAAGGCCTAATACCTGCCTTATGGTTTGATTGATAAACATCTGACTTGGTGAACAAAACTGCAATTTTTGTCACACCTTCAGAAGTCTTCTTCTTTTCAACCCTAATTCACAATTATACAGAATTTGATAGGTGTATTCACCCTATTCATTTTCAGTGAGCTAACTCTACTACATGTTAATTAATATCCTGTTACTTAGTACATCTTCCTTCATACCCTATGGGGGGGGGGGGGGGGGGGGGGGTCTCACTGAAAAGTCAGTTTTCTAGTCTTGTTTTAGTTTTTAGTTTTTAAATTATATGAAAAACTTTTATTCTAGTCTTTTATTTAATATTCACATTTGCAAATAGAGAAAACTCAAATGAAACCTGACTGTAAATTCACACCCACTGACTGACACTGATACCTATATGGGACCTCATATTTATTGTCTCACATTAAACATGCAAAATATTTTTCTTAGTTTTTTAATTTCTGCCTTTTTGCAGTGAAAACTCCTGCTCACAGCAACACAGCTTTACTTCTAGGTTTGGTTTGGGATATAAATGACATGAAGTACACAGTACAATATACTTACACTGCTCCCCGCAGACTTAAAATTGACTCTAGTATTACCTTGCATCAGCCAGTATCAGTCTGCGTGCTGGCTGGAAACAGACACAGGTGAGTGATCCGCCTCAGAGTGCCAGCTGCTGACTGGGTCAGAGAGGGCGGAGACATGATTCAGGTTTCACCTGCAGGCCTCATGGCACACTTATCTTAATTATAACTGTCCTTTCATGAGATAGATATTGATGTATTGTGACACTTAAACTGCTAATGCTGTTTTGAGAATACACAGTAAATGTACTACAAGTCTTAATAACAAATCATTGTCATGGTTAAAATCAATAATTTACTATCACTGGACCACTTTATGTCTTCTCTTATGGGTGGACCTAAGTCCGACAGATGTCTGCAGAGTTGGTTTAATTAACTGAAGGTAATTCTTCTTCTCTCTTTCTCAGAGTGACATTCGAGACTATCCTTCCCTCTATAAAGTGTGTGAGGGAGTCGACTGTATATTCCACACAGCGTCTTATGGCATGTCTGGACCAGAACAGGTGACTTCCCTTCATGTCTTCTGTAGCAGCTTCTCACCACTCGATCATTCAAACAAAAGTCCGAGAGACAGAGCTTCTAAAAAGTGACAAATTTAATTGAATAATTAAGTGCTGCAAGGTCTGAACTTATATTATCTTTAGAGGTGATGTAGCCTACAGAATTCAAATGTTATTGAGTGCATGATTACTTAAGCTTAATAATGTACTTACTGTAAGTAGTTCTCTGGATTTACCCAGAGCCAGTGTCAAGCTTCAAAATCAATTGTAAATGATGCTAAAACAGACTTTCCATGGTCAGTATTGATTGTAGGAATAATTTTCTGAAGCTAATCTACAGAACAAGTTTGATTAATACCAGAACACGAGGACGAAAAAGAAAAAAAAAGAAAAAAGAAATGCTTTGCTCAAAATTAATGCAGCATAACCAGTGATACTTTATTATATATATATATATTATTCCACACATTCTTCTTCCTTGTCAAAACCTGGCACCTACATGGATGCAAATTCAGCTGCTAAAAGTTTTGTGGGAGATTCAGGTGTGTTATGCTAGTAGCAGCTAATGTTATCGCAAGCGGAGAAGAGGGGTGGGCCACAGAGGTCTGCTAACTCACATCTTTCTCACACCACAATCCCAGATTTTGTAGTCCTCAAGCCAGAGCTGACAACCTTTTTTCAACATAATGACAGACCACTGACTATTACTGACAAGATTTATGTTATCATTGTATGTACCTGACTGAGACTTGCAGTATGCCAGTTCATTATTGCACCAGAAAATAAAAATAAGGAATGTGTAGGTTTCCAGTGAATGAAGCCTTAGCCTGACGCTCAAATCAGTCTCTACTTCTTAATCCACTTCGAAAAAAAAATATAAATCCACTTCAAAATATCCACAGGACCACTCCGTAAAGTTGAGCTGTTTACTTCAACACAGAAGAAAATAATATTACAGAACGATATCCATTTCCAAAGGTATTATCAAATTCGAATGACAAAAAGAGAAGTCAAAAAACTGTGTGGCTCCACTCTCTGCTTGCCTAACTAACCTGATATCACTCCCCGCCCCTCCCCTTATGGGAACACCAAAGCACTTCAGGTGTGAAGTAATTAAAAGCGAGTACCTTATTCCTTTATACTCCAAACGTAACAAATGAAATTCTATATATTTTAAACTGTCCACACACCCAGTTTATTGACATAGACAATTAACTTACATTGTGGTAAATATTGTAAATATGAACTGTAAATAATTCAACCTGTAAATAATGTAAATAATCCTTAAATTTCTTTTATCAATTACTGTATATTATTGTTATTCCATGTATGAAATCAAACCAATTTGTCAAACATCAATTAACTGCATTTAGGTTCCTACAGAATGTATTATCTACAGTATAAGAAAGGGTGTAGTTATGAAGTGACATTTTTCTGTCTTTCTCTTTGCCTCCAGCTGCGGAAAGAGCAGGTGGAGTCAGTCAACGTTGGAGGGACGAATAATGTTATAAACGGTAAGAATACATACAGTCGCTGTCATTCTCAACACCATGCAACTCACATGCATTGTCATAGATCAGTGAAATGATTGCTGAGCCTCATTTGGACACTGAAAATACTTAAGATCAAAATTTGCTTCCAATGGGCAACAAAGTCCACAATGTATCCCAATGTTTATCTGAAGTTAATATGAGGCTTCAACGATCTGAGTTAGACAAGTTACTCTTTTTGTTACAGTCTTTCCACTGCAGCTCAGCAACAAAGCAGTGCCCAAAGACTTTACCTTTGGATGATATCCACTTGATTTGATAAATCCTGGCTGTTTTTTTTGTTGTTGCACAGACTGAAGGCACATTCAGAAAGTTTATTTTTAATCTGCACACCACCTTTTATTGTACCAGCATTTAATCTGCTGTATTTCAGTCTGTAAGGAGAGGAGCATCCCCCGGCTGGTGTACACCAGCACCATCAACGTGGTGTTTGCGGGGAAACCAATTGAGGATGGTGATGAAGATTCGGTGGCGTACGTGCCCCCCGACGTGGTGGGTGAAAAGAATAGGACCAACTGCAGCGTTACCAATAGCAGATTTTTACCCATGAATTATTCTAAATGTCGTATCCACTAATTTAGCACCAAAGGTTGGGATGAACTGTGTGTGTCTTTCTGTTCCAGCACATTGACCATTACTCCCGAACTAAAGCGATTGCAGAGCAGATGGTCCTCTCAGCCAACGGATGCTCCCTGAAAGGTGTGAAACGATCTGTATGTGTGTGTGATGACGGTGTAATCACAGGGTTACATGAAAAGTGTGTAATCACAGGAGATCGCAACTTTATCGTTCAGTTTCTGTGTAAAAAATGTTTTTGTGTGTTTGTTTGAAATGGCGACAGCGGGAGAGACTGAGTCAATGGTAGCTATGGAAACTCGGCGTGCAATCCAATACAGGCAGTGACACAGGTTTCATTTCAGAGCTGGACAAAACAGTACCAAAGAGTGCAGCAGTCATGTAACACCAGAAATAATGTCTCTCTCTCACACACACACACACACACACACACACCCACACACACACACACACACACACACACCCACACACACACACACACACACACACACCCACACACACACACACACACACACACACCCACACACACACACACACACACACACACCCACACACACACACACACACACACACACACACGTAATCTTCTAATGCATTGTAATGGGTTTTATGTCAGACTGTGTGCTTTACATTAACAGGTGTGAAGCCTCTCACTCCCTCCTCCAGTGTAACCCTACATCCTATCAGTGACCATCACCTTATACATTCAATCAAGCTTAGAGCAAGGAGATGTCTCATTATATGCTGCAGGTTAAAGTTGATGTATCTGCAACAGGAGGGTGCGGTTTAGGGTTTTTTTTTCCACTGACATAAAGAGACAGGACATTTACTTGAGTTCTCTATTTTTGTACTATTTTAAGGTAGTTTGTACTTTATTTGATTTTATCCTACTTTATACTTCTGCTCTGCAACATGTCAATAGGGAATATTGCACTTTTTACTCCACTAGATTGATGTGAGAACTATAGTTAGTTTTCAGATTAAGATTTTACATAAAAAAAAAGCAAAAAAAAAATGTTATCTTATAAAATTACAATGCATCATTAAAAGACCAGTGGTTTCCAACCTTAATGACATCGTACAAAAAAAGCAGTTGAGGCCTCTTGTTACATATTTAAGATGTAACTGAGTGATGGTTGCATTTAAATACACTGTCCAAATAGCTACAGTTCAAATGTGTCAAAAAAGTAAATATTAGAAATTAACTTTTTAAAAATGAATATAAATATGTGAAGCACTACATTATTTTTTGTCTTTACTACTCTGTGTCTCTTTTTAGTGCATCAATGTTAACTATCAAATCAAAGTAACAAAGTAATCATGATATACTGTATCACTCAGAGCATATTCAGTGAAGGTTTGTATCTTGTGTCTTGTGAAGGAGGAGAACTGCTGCAGACCTGCGTCCTGCGACCGTGTGGCATCTATGGACCAGAGGAGAGGAGACATCTTCACAGGGTGATGGTGAGGGACTAACACAAAGAAAAACTTATATATTGTCTTATCATAAAGATTCATTTCTTTTGTGTTGGCACTGGGAAAAAAAAGGACAATCTTGCAGTGTCTGAAGCCTCCCTGGCAGAGTGTGGTCCAGCCTGAAGTCTTTACATTATTCATGGAGCTCTCCAGGCATCCAGTTACAGCTACCTTTTCTTCCAGTCTTTCCTCTACGAGGCACCAGTTTGGGGTTTATCGTCGGCCAAGTGGCCACAAGGGCTGACTTTAATATTCAGTAGGTCAACCTGATTCTCTAGTCTGGGGTTAATTTGTACAAATATGAGTCTACTTATTGTTCCAAATCATTAGAATACCATAGATTTTGATATTTAGGACATTCATTTCAGTAGTAAAAAAGTTAAAAAGCTGCCAGGAACCCAAAACACATGAAAAATGACACAGGAGCCTATACAAATGTACAAATCATTAGTAGCAATAATCACTGAAAATATAATTGCAGAACATATATATATATATATATATATATATAGAATATATTGAACAAAGGGGTAAAGATGCTTCACACTTGCTTGGGTAAATACTGTTGCTTTGTAACTTGATTTCAATGACATCTCTTAGTGTGTTTTATCTCTCAGCTGCTGAACAGCTATGCTAACATCCCTGGATGTTGTGAAGATGAATAACATGAACTATGTTGTTTCTTGCATTAAAATAGTTTCTGTTCAGGAGCACTTTAGAACTTTAATTTAAGTTTGACAAAAGATGAAGTAAAAGGTGGGAAAATGTTCCCTGGCATAGATTAACACAAGCACAGTGTGAAAACCAAACAGGCATGTATCAAACCCAGTCGTAGGAAACAAATCTACAAATGTTTGCTTTAAAAGAGTTATATGCTGATGATATAAAACATGCTATATTCATTTAAGACTCAGTTTTCTGCTCTAACCTGTCATTGGTTAAAGTATTATTTTAAGGTTAATTCTCATTTATTAACAGAAAGAAATGTTAAAATCAGAAGCAAAAAAACACATTTGGCACATGAAAACTGTTCACTTTCTCTCCTCCATCTGTCTTTGTCTCAGGTGAACGTGGAGCGGCGGTTGTTCAGTTTCAGGTTCGGGGACCCCCAGGCCAGGATGAACTGGGTACACGTAGACAACCTGGTGCTGGCTCACACTCTGGCAGCTGAGGCTCTCACACTGAAGAAGAGCTGTGCTGCTGTGAGTCACACCGTCCGCTGCGTGAGAAAAAACCAACAGATTCGTGTGATCACACCACTTTGAACTATAAAACCACACAGAGTCAATCAGGCATTAACAGATTATTCCTAAATCTTTTTATATTTACCTAATCAGTAACCCCTTAATGACTTGAAAAGTGATTAAATTTAACTGAAGGCCGCCGAATAAAAGATGAGTAGTGGTTGTCTTTATCAACTATTCTGTACAAGAATAGAGACCAAAGATGGGATCAGTAACAAATTAATTTCTGTTCTTTTGCAGAGTGGACAGGTCTATTTCATTAATGATGGAGTTTCAGTCAATCTCTTTGAGTGGCTGACACCTTTGGTGAGTTAAAGGATAAGGCTGTTGATAATCTGTGTTTTCCTTACTGTCTCCCGTGGAGACACCAAAACCAACAATTAACTGCTTCTGTTAACAAGTGTTGTATGTAGCTTATTTCTCTGTGCCATAGATCTCCATTGTTGTCCAATAAAAAAAAACAAACATTCAAAATCCCATTCTGCTGCTGGAAATACTCACTAGAACACCAAATTTGTATTAATCCACAGTTGAAAATAGTCCCCATCAAAAGCACTACTGATGTCATTTTTAGTAACAATTGCTAAAAAAGCTGTGTTTTAGAAAATTACTGAGACTTTATCTATATATTGTGAACTATTTTGAAAGATTTACATCCTCAGTAGAAATTATTGGATTTGGGGCTACAGAGTGCTACAGAGAGCATTTGTCTTATAAAATTTCAAAGGTATTTACAGATGAATTGAAATGTATTTAGTCAGAACTAAGTGGAATTTACCTCACTTTGTTTTGCATTACTTTTTCGATCGCAGTTTGAAAAGCTGGGCTACAGCAGACCATTGATAAATCTCCCTGTTTCACTGGTCTATTCAGCAGGTAGTGCTCCTCCTCAAAAGTGTGCTTCTTTTCAATATCCTTTATGCCATAATGTTTTTGAATGTTTGCCAAGTTGTTACTACCACTGACTATATATGTTTATCCTCTGTGTCAAGCCATCCTGGTGGAATACTTGCATGTAGCTCTAAGGCCGGTGGTAACAGTGCCTCTACTTTTTACCAGAAGTGAGGTAAGTATTCTTCCTCCTGTCTGTCTCTTTAAAACATGTTTTTGCTTGTCAGGCTTTCAATGGATTCTGGGGATCTTGCCTTTTCTGCTCCTGAGCATGTTTTTAATCCAGTTTTTGAAATGTCATATGTCATTAGTTGTCCGACCTGAATGAACTCTGTTTGAGATACATTATAGATCATGAAGATGTGACTGTGTAGTGTTTGAGAATGCATGCATGACTAAATGAAAGTATGCCTTGTGTGTTGGAGATTTAGTTACCTTCTCACTAATGAGTAGATTCTTGTTTAAGTCTCTCCCACAGCAGTGAAGACAGACTTCATTAGGTATTTTCCCTACCTCACGCCACGTCTCCTCTCCCTTCGTCTACGCCTATCTTTGTCAATGAATTATGGAAAACAAAAGTGAATCTTGAATTATTAAAATTATTAGCAGATAACAAAATCTCAAAGCTCTCATGGTCACTGGAAACCTTTTAATACTATTTGTTGATCTGTAGCTCTATTAAAACACAGTAATTATACTGTATCAGGCTGAGGGCCTTTACGATGCATGCCAAGGAGCCTCCATCGTGGCCTGTAAGGTCCTCATGAATGAGTGATGAGGCAGAAACCAAAGCTGAGTGCCGAGGGCCTGCACCTGGAGCTCATGCTGTCAGACAGCTGCTGGCTGGGGGATGGATGATTGTCCTGTGAATAAAACATAAACTGCTGTGGGTCAGAACAGGAAGTTCAAGATGAAGTTTACAGGAAGTGACCTCAGTACGGTGGCTGTTGTCATGGTGAGTGGAGTCGGGCAACCGCTCAGCTGGGCTCAAATGATCCTGTCAACTCTCAGGTGAAACCATTGCAAGACATGCAGAGGACCTTTTCCTCTCTTGCATAAATTCCAGCTCTATAAATGCATAGTGAGAGATGCAGTTTCAAATGTCATATCAACTAAAATGTAAACACTGCAGAGAGCTGCACCAAGGTTCAGTGCTCAGCTGTCTTGTCTTGGCGTGTTCAATAAGTTTAAAAGATAAGTCTGGTGATATTCTATATTATTCATATCCCACAAAAAGATCAAAACCATCCTATAAATAAAGTACTGTTTGTGTATCCACAGCTATATACATATCATAGGCCAGAGATATACTTGCTTTTTAACCACGGGTAATTGTTCACGTATTTGCCTTTGTACTACACGTGTTACTGACTGGATAATCCTAGAGGGCACACCAGAGAGCACTGATCAGATACAATGTATGATGTAATCAATAAACATGCCGACACTCGAGGGGGTTACTATTTTGGTAATTCTGAAATCATAGTCTTAATTTCTAAGGATGTTCATGACTAACTCTCAAAACCGATGCAGGATACTTGAGGCAGTCATAATGCACACATGGACATGCAGTTAAAAGCAAGTATACTTTAGCTTTACTCCTTTTTGTACAAGACCTTTTAAAAACATAATTGAACCACAATGTTGCACTGTGTGACATTTTACTTACCATAAACACAGGAACTGTTTATTTTGATGTGATCTCATCCTCACCGTCCTGCTGCTGTAAATAATCACCAATAATCAGTAGGGCATCAAATGTGTATTAGTCCACAGCTCAAAATAGTCCCAAACACAAATGCACCCTGTGGTGGATGGTGTGCTTGTAGTGTTTGTAGCAGCTATGCATGAGGCATCATACAAGAGAGCTCTGAAGATCTTTTGTAAAAGGTGTGTGCTGACTGAAGCAGTTTTACATCATAAGAGAACTGACTTTCGGGAGGATGGAATGTGGGAAAATTGCTTTAAAGAACTATTCTTCTCTCACTGTCGTCTGTTTGAGCTCTTTAATCGCTGAGTGTACTTCACATGCAGATACCTTATCCCCGGGCAGTAAGAAGATGCAGTAACCGGAGGCATCCATCAGTCACATGCTATCAGACTGTAAAACCAAATTTGCCAAATTGAGGTTAATCTGAACCATTAGCCTGGCAGAATGTCCTTTAACTTTGTCTGTTGGCCTGGCCTTCTCTGCATCAGCTGAAGGGCTTGATATAGATTATTTCTTTTGTGATAAAAACTTTTGTGAAATTATAAACGTATCATCTTTTGCAGGTTAGGAACATTGCAGTAAGCCACACTTTCAAGATCGACAAGGCCCATCGAGAGCTGGGTTACTGTCCGAAGCTGTACAGCCTGGCGGACTCTGTGGAACAGTACCTGAAGTCCCAAAAGCCTTGCTCCACCTCACCTTTTTTCAACCTCTCCTGGACCTCACAGCACCTCATCCTGCTGCTGCTGATGGGTCTCATTGTGGTGCTACTAATGTTATCCTGCATATTCTGTCAGAACTAAACAATTTTTGCAGTACTGGATGGATGGCTGCACTATAAGCTGTCTCAGGTATTGTAATTTAGAATAAGACACTTCACTTGTTTGTTAGGAAATAAATTGTTTTGCTTCTTTTTTTCTCTCATGAAGGTGATGGTTTATTCTCACCACAGATGACAGATGTAATAGAATATGCCCTAAAATAAGTTTTCGAAGTTCAAAGTTATGGAATTTCCTTTTGATGTAAGTACATGTATTATCTCTCTACCTTTTTGACATTGGTATATGTGTATCTAATTTCAAAATGATGAAATTACCAGGCTGCTGAAAAGCATTAAACTTGAGTTGTGTTGTCTACAGTTGAAGTAACTATGATTTCATTAAAAGGAAAAAATACATAGCTTTGTATTACAAATATTCAAATTTTAATTGATTGTATGTAAAGCATGTTACCAGTTTCTATTATAGATTTGTTGAGATTTACATCTTTAGAGTTTAATTTAGTATTTAACTGGCAATTTTGTAAACTTTTAGAAATAAAAGCATTGATAATAAATGACAATGACCATTTTATATCTACAACAAAAAAAAAAAAAATTATAAGTTCCCTATTTCCTCTACTCAAATGAAAACTTATAAAGAAAGTAAAACTTTTTCCCTGAAAAATCTACGCATGAATAAAAAATGCTGGGCAACACAGCATGTCATGTTGAGGATGAGTTGGTGCTTTAGTGCAGGCTGCCACAAGGGGGCGTACTTGCACTGCCGAAAATGTTCACGGTGGTAAGCACTCCTAATGTGTAGCAGTAAAAACGACCATGGGGCATCACAATGGCATATATGTGTAATGTTTTTCACATGGCACTGTAGACACAAAGGGTCTGCTGACGTTGTTTGCTTATATTGAGACATCTCAGTAAAAGTAAACGTTACTGGCAGCGGTGGGATTCGAACCCACGCCATCGAAATGACTGGAGCCTAAATCCAGCGCCTTAGACCACTCGGCCACGCTACCTTAACGGCGTCTGTGATCGTGTCTCACTAAATCAATATAATTACAAAGATTTAAGTCGCATTTTAAACGGTCTACGGTTTAAAATATTTTTCTTCTATTTCTTCCCTGTTCTCTGATTAAAATACGTAACGGACAGGTCTGCCAGGGGGCTTCGTGTGAGCAGGATTATACCTTACACAGAATATAAAACATTAAATGTATCTAAACTGTGGCATTTTATAAATCACTTCCTATGGTTTCATCGATGATTTTACTTAAGTAAAGCAGAACGATGTAAAAAACACTCCATTACAACTAAATGTCGTGCATTGAAAAGTTCAAACGTAATAAATCGCGCATGGTATGAATACACACATGAAATCGAGATAGTAAAAATTATTTGGTCCGAATCCGGCCCGGAACCACCATAAAATCTGCGCCAGATCCGTCGGTGCCCTTTGGCACAACGGGGCTAGTTTCAGTGCGGATCCGTTTTTTGAGTCCGGGTCAGAACTGGGCTGGTTCCGGGCCGGTGAGGAGTCTTTATGGGGACCCAGATCCCTACTGAATCCGGCCCACATGTGGGTCGGATCCAATGTGGATCTGGGCCAGATCTGGATCCAGACCAGGACAGATCAGTTCAAGTCTGATGGATCTGGTCCGGAATTCAGCCAGATCTTGTCCAGTCTGGGCCAGATCCATTCTGGCTCTGGTTCAGCTCATTTTGTGTGTATTTGGCTCCAATATGGATTTTATGATTACTCAATATTACAGCTGAATAAAGGGTAGTAACATACATTTCTAGAATTTCAATGGTGAGGAAATAAATGTCTTGCCACTAATACTCAAAAGTGATAAGTAATTATAAGAGAATGTTTCTGTCTGGTCAGTTTTAACATGAAGCCCTTGAATAACAAAAGGCTAGAAATAATAGTATTATTTCTAGCCTTTCTAGCCTAAGGCTAGAAATAATAGTATTATTTCTAGCCTTTTGTTATTCAAAGGTGTATAGTTAGCAAAATTACAACTTTATACTTGAAGATAAATAAAATTGTTGTATTGAAAATATCCTCCATGGGACTCTTTTTCAGGAAGTCCATAAATAGTATGCACATCTTTGGATATTTGGAAATTCCCTTAACCTTTTTTTTTCTTTTCCCTCTTTCTTTTCTTTTTTGATTTTGTTTTGTATGTTGGACATAGCCCAATAAGAAATATACATAATGGTAAAGAAAAAAAAAAAGATGAAAAATGAAACAAATAAATTAGCAAAAGTGAACTCATATATGCATCAGATACACAGCATAATCACAGGGTTACATTATTACATTTTAATAGGCTATATGTTTTTATATGACATTTAATTATTATTATGGATGCATTCATTTGTAAGCAGGATTTCAATGTTGTTAGGGCAAACTATTTTCAACTATTTTATTTGCCGCTGGCTAAATAAATAATCCATAGTTAAATGTGGATTATGGCAATACTCAAGTATCCCAGATCTTTCAGTAGACTATTGTAAAGTAGTTAGTTACATTCCACCACAGTCCAACACTTAATAGCCTATAATCCCTGAAAAACATCAGTAATCATATATCATTTTGGATATAATATATTTTTTTGATGGCATCCAGTGATTTTGTAAATCACTTTTCTCTCAGTATAAGAGAGGACATTATGAGTGCACACAGACAGTCACTGTTGGTTTGAACTTGTGGTTGGCTGGCTGGCTGGCAGAGCTCCAGGAGCAGCCACACATAGGAATGTGTGGAGGATTTGCCCTGAGTTTGAGTCAATTAGGCACAGTTTCCATTTGTGACAGCGGCCACCTCCTCTGTCACCAGCAGTTGGTTTCATTACTTATATATAGCTAATTTGACAGCTAATCTATACCTTTTGTGAATAATTTTTTGTTGTATTTGGTCTAACTCAGACCTCTGCTGTTTGCTTTGCTGACGGCTGTGTATGTATGCTTATGATCTTGCCAAGACTTTAGGCAAGCGGGGTATGCAATCCCCTTGTTTGGAGGTTTAATGGATTTGGGGCTAGTTGAAAGCAGTGTGGGGGAAATCTCAGTTATATAAAATCTAATTATGAAAAGAGACAAAGCCCCATTAATTGTTTGCAGGGCCACAGAGTGCACTGGGGGACAGATGTCTTGCAAAATGAGGAGACCTCTGGGTTTCACTACTGTTGTGTGTTTTGATTTGACTGTTTCTACAACACACTGCAGCAGACAGATAGCCATTACATTTTTTCCATCTGATGAAATTTTATGATTATACACATAGAGGGAGGACAGGTTGAAACACCTCAGTGCACTGGAACTCTGTAACGATTATTGTGGTGTTGTTATAGACACTGCATACGATAACAATCAACAGGTTCCTGCATCAGTGTTTTTACTGGTTAGTTGCAAGCAAAAACATGTTAGTCATCATGGAGGACACCTATAATCGTACAGTGATGCCTTCTGCAGCAATATATAGTCCACTTCACAGCTTCAAAAACAACATATTGCTAAATGCCAGCTATGTTTAGTACAGCAGCATTGTCCATTAAGCATCTTCTCTCTCATGAGCAGTTCAACACGTGGAAAGTGAGAGTGAAATGACAGACCTCACAACACGATTTTGAACTCAGATCTGCAGTTTCACTGTGGGCAGGGTCAGCAGTATGTTTAAATTTAGCCGATGACAGCTCCGGTCCTGAACATTTAGGATTTTTGAGAGTTCCCATAATATCTATCAGAATCATTTTGATTCAGAATGAAAGGGTTATAAGAATAAACAGTTATTGACTTTTTTCTGTTGTTTATGCTAACCTGAGCAACACAATCTCTGTTGCATACTGAGAGAGGTTAAAGTCCAAGTCAAAAGGAATATTATGACGATTCGAGGCACAGGAAATTGTTTATATACAAGAGAACATTTCTTTTGTGCTTTCCATTTACCTCTGTATTATTTTTTTCTCAATCAACCTTGTCAGACAGAATATTTACAACCACAGAAAAACACCTTATTGTACATTTGATTTCACTTTCAGTCAGTCTTGGCTGATTAATCTAAATATTTAGCAATAAAGAAAATAAATAGCATTTTATCTTCTCTAAACTTATTTAAAAAAAATAAATAAAACATCAAACTGTGATTCAATCATAAAAAGTGCAGGGCTGTTATGTGTACTACTGGCATAAAGGCTCATTGCAGCCTAAGCTTTGCACAGACATGAAAACAGAATGCATAGACTGTTAAAAACAGTATTCCAGTGTACACTGAAATTTCTCTGGTGACATTACAATGACCCTTGACTGGTGAACCAACTATTGCCAACTTACAAAAACCACCTCACGCTAGCTGTTAAGCTATTTATCATAAACTCCTGAGTCTTTAGTTATTACATAGCTACAGTTTTTCATCCTATTACAACATTCCAACATTTCTGTTTATATAAGTCATATATAACAGCTATGTCTCCAACTTACATCAAAACGCTAACAATATTCAATGTGTGTATTTCTCTTCCAAACACCAAATAACAGGGTTAACATTATATAGACTGAATATGACACTGAATGCTGTTGCAGTTGGACATAATACTTGTAGATTTGGAGGTCAAACTACACACTGAAATGTACTTTTTATTAGTCTAAGGATCTGTTAGTACGTATTAATATAACTATAAATATTTCCCTATACAATAATTCTTTATTATCTGTAATTTTCTGTATATTTGTTATTGTACTTTGGAATGTATTCATTTGTCAAATCATACAGCTGCTTTATATAACAAGTTTTATAACACTTCATTTTTGATAAGGACGGAATAAATGGAACAGTGCTGACTGACAAAAGTATAGGTGCGTCAACATGACAGGAGATAAGAGGATTGCAGCGTGTCTAAGTCGCACAAGGACTAAGCGTGCTTATTGCATTTGCACCCACTGGATATTTTTATTGCAAAGCCACCTCAAAGTTTCTTATTTGTCAAAAACTTTCACAAACGAGTGCAAGCCCCATGTCCCATAAAGATGAATAATACAACTATTAGGCAGAGCTGGAGAATTTACTCTCCCTGTCTGGACGTTTGCTGTCACTGAGGTCCTCTTTGGTCTTTTGGATGCAGGTGAAGATCTCCTTGAAGAGAGCCTTGTACTCAGGCTGCTGGCCGTCTTCCAGAACCACTGTCAGATCAGACAAAGCAGCTGAGCTGGACAGGCGGCGGCGGGTCCGGATGCTCACAAAGGGACTATTGGATGTCTGGACGGCTTTATGGCTGAGTCCGTCTGTCGCCTGCTGGCATCGCTGCAGCAGCTCATCATATTTCACCTAGATAAGACAGACATATCTTATGGAAGTGCATTCATTTTCTTTTAAATATGTTCTCCTTCTTAATAGTCTACGCTACTGGTTAGTAGTAGTAGTAATAGTTCTCGTGCATAAATTGTACAAAATGTGCTATGAATACAACACCTGGAGCGCGCTGTACTGTGCATCCACCTCATTGAGCAGAGAGATGCCCCTCTGTTTCACCGCCTCGGCTCGCCTTATACACAGCTGCTCGTGACCACGGCGAATCTCGTCTGGGTTTGTCGCTCTCAGAACGCTGTCACTGTTACACCTCTGTCGGCTGTATCTTCTCTGCTCCTCATCATTTTCTACCTTCTCCTCTGTGTCACTCTGCCCTGGGCTGACCTTTTCTTCTGAGGCGAAGAATACTGTATCAGGCAGCAGCAGCTGGTCTGGTCTTCTGACACTGGTGGGAGTGGAGGGGACACGGAGGTATAAGTCTCAAGAATCATGAGAAATTACACACCTGGAATTGGTCCATACTCTTGCTGTAAAATCTTAAAGTTGTATAATCAATTCAAAGTCATAAAAACATAGCCAAGATAATAGAATTTGAACATAGTCCATACATAACTCAGTCCTAACCTCTTGGCACAGTCAGCGCGCCATAGAAGCCGCAGCTGTTCCACTTCGGCCTCCAGCTCCTTCTGCCTGGTCCAGCAGCCTGCCAGCAGGGACAGCCGCTGCTCCAGGCCAATGTTCTCCCTGGCTGTCAACTCATTCTCCTGCTCTGCAGCCTCCCTGCGGCTCCGCTCCGCAGCTATCTGGGCCTGAAGTGTCTGGACAGACCTTTGGAGAGCCACATTCTCCTCCTCTGGGTCTTGGCATCTGTCTTGGTCATAGAAAGAGCCCTGAGGCGACCAGAGTCCATCCACGTGCAGACTGTTGTGGGCTAGGTGCCTGAGCCAGAAACAGGTAAGTCAAGAACAGGTAATGCCAAAATATGTGAGACATCACTTTAAGAAAAATAAATATTTTTGTTAATCACACTGAGATCACTGTGCATCAATAGATGGAAACAAAAGATTATTAATCATAAAGTATTAGGTCTGTTTCAAGGAAACTAAAAGTCATTATAGGGTTAATGTATTTATAAGGCAGTAATTTAACTGCATTACAAAAACCTTTTGTTAGACTACTATCAATATGAAAAACATTACCAATTTCATCATAGTTTGTTATTAGATGACTTCATTGTGTCACCTCACTACTAAAACCACCTTTGGGAGCTGCCATGATACATTTTCTGTATACATAAAAAAAGATCTGTCTCATAATTCACACATAGTCTGTTGGATTGTACAAGATTTTAGGGTAACAATTCTCTTCACAGCACACCAAATACATGGCATGAAAAGCAGCAAGCTAAAGCTACAGTGGCTTGTATGTATTAGTATGTTGCACGGGGGGTGTTAACTTGGATTATGTCTAAAGAAGTCTGGTCTGGCTCTAGGTGACCTGAAGGTGTCCAGTTATCATCAAGTAGCTGAAATACCAGACGTATTATTTAGATGCTTTTAACTACCCTTTACTTCTTTGGACTAATGTAAAGGAAGATAAACATCAAACCACACTGCCCCTGATGGAAGCAGATACTGTGTACATGAATATACACCTGAATATGTTTCTAGAAAATCTGTGTAAAAATATTTCAAGGAAACTCTCAGTGTCTTTCTCACACAATACTGTCTGGACCAGCCATGCAATTTCCTGTCTGGCAATAGTTTGTCTGTTACATCCTGCAGCTCTGCTATTGGCACTGTACAGAAAAGTGTGTGTAGTTACGTGCACACATGCAATACCTGTCATGGTGTAAGTCATACAGCTCTTTGAGACAGGACACACTCTGTGCTCCGAGGCTGCGTCGCTGCTCTCTTTTGTTTCTCTCTGCCTGGGCAGTCTTGAGCTCATCCACCTGGGTCTGCAGGTCCTCCATGTGGGTCTGAAGCCCGTCTATGGTCTCTGTTAGACTGTAGTGGAAAGGAGGTTTATTGAATATTATCTTCATATATTAAGACTTTATGATGAACTGACTGGGTGAATAGTTCGAATAGGGACTAACCTATGGATCCTCTGCTGGGCCAAGCGGTTGTCCTGCACTAGTCTCCGGTTGCCTTGCTCCAGATCCCTGGCAGTCACGTCTAGCTGCTCATACACTTTGGCATGCTGGTCGTTCATCTGACGCAGCAGGTCTACCTGCTTCGTCAGGTACTGGTGCACAAGAGAGGTGACAAACATTTAAGTTTAACTTAAGTCTTCCAGGTTTGTTTGTGGTATCTCCAATAAATGATTTTAGTAGAGTTGAAGCAGTTGGTTCCAGCCTCTCAAATGTGAGGAGTGGACTTCTCTTCCTATATTGTTGTAGACTGAATATTTTGAGGGTTTTCAAACACATCAGACAAACCTGACATTCAAAGTTGCTACCCTGTATCCTTATTTTTTTATATATCATAATATATATCATTTCATCGACAAAACAGTTGAAATAATGTACATATTAACTGATTATGAAAATAATCCTGTAACATGTTACTATCACACATTAAAAGATCAAAATGCAGAGCAACAGCACCGAGCCACACATGAGGTTATTTAAAAACTTTAAATCCATCCACAGAAAAGAAAGAGACAGGGATAGCATATCATGTCTCACACATTTTTACATTTGGTTTTATATCCCAGCCTGACACATTTTACTACCAAACAGACAACGGCTTCCTTAGAAGCAGAGAGCTGCCAGTTGTGGGCCTGGAAAAGCACTCTGAACATTGGGGAAGGGAATGATAACATGAGTCTGTGGGTTATATTTGAATGGCATTTGACTTGTAATTGTGGTTATATATACTGAGTTACCTTTCTCTGGTGGAGATCAATGCAACCATTTGTCTAGTGCTTTTATAAATCTACTCAGCTCAGCCTGTATCACATTACCATGCTCAGGTGTATGCACAGCTTTGAGACAGTCATTAGTGAAGTGAGTAAGACCATCAGCAGACACAGCATGAGGACGAGGGTCACAGAGACGTATGGGGATTACCATATCAACCTCTATAAATCCTGAAGCCACCGGCCCTCTCACTGCTGTAAACAAATTAAGGCTCTTATCGTTGTTGACCTGCTGAATGCCATGTCCTCGGACTCAAATAGATCAGCACTGTCTGTGTGTGCCAAAATTAAATGTCTGAACACCGAAATGTAAGGCCTAATTGTGTTTATTTATAAGCTCTACCTGACAACCCACTCACAAACCAAGACCTGTGCTGAGATCCGAGAGTTTGACAACCTATTAATTTAGGGAATCTAGGTTTGATCAGGCCACATGAAAATCAAAATTATATTGTGCATTTTATCCTATCTAGCCTGTTAATTAGTTGCACCTTAACAAATAAGAGCAACATCAAAACCTTAATTAAGACCTTCGTTACTTGAACAATACCCATGTAAATAACACAGTGAAAGTTTTCCTTTAACTAGATGGACGCACATCCTGCCAACAGGACGCACTGAGCCAAAGGCTCACTAGGTCAGACTGGTGAGGATTAGCTTCTACTCCATCCTATTTAAAGTTTAGAGAAATTCCCAATGACACTTCCCTTCCAGTGAAAGATCTTTTTTTCAGATCCCTTTAAACAGATTTTTCTCAATGAATTGTCTGCCATGTATAGACTCATGCATATAAAACTACATATATGCAGTAAAAATATGTATCCACAGATTAGACTGTGGATAGCAGAGGATGTTATAAACACATGTTGGAATGGGTAGAGGGAATACACGCTCATTCCTCTGATTAGTTCCTTCCTAACATTTATCACCTCTATCTCCTGCAGCTGCTCCTGGTTGGTGGAGTACATCTGCTGGAGGGCCTGCTCCAGCTCATGGTTCCTGTCGAGGAGGGTTTTTCCCAGCTCCGCCGCCAAATGGAGATCTGTCAAAGCACAGGGAAAAATGTAAACACAAGATACAAGACAGTTTCAATGCCCAAACACAGGCAACTGATACAGACTTACGGTAGTGCAGTTCTCACATACACAAACACACAACTCATTGTCTCATACTATTAGTATTTGGCTCGGGTGAGTCCAAGGCATGCCTTGGGATCTCCTTGTGACACGCTGCCCAACTAAATTCTTTTTTCTGGATGTAATCCAGCAACAGTGTTGACTCCTAAGTGAGTACTTCTAATGTAGTACTACTAAGTACAGTCAATAAAAATGTTTCATGCAATTAGTAGTGTATTTCCCAGGATTTTTAACTCAAACATGATGTAAGACCACTAAATAACAACCTGGAGGAAAGGGTGTTGCACAAACAGTTATCCATTGTGAAAAATACCTCACATTACTGCGAAAAATCTATTTGTCAAACAGCAGAACACTTTAAGTTTTACTCAGCTCCACTGAGGAATGCTACAGGAAACTGTTCCTGCCTGTTGCCACCACTCTGTACAATGCGTCACCTCTGTGTCTGGACAGCAGCTCTGGCTGCGTGAAGGTGCCACGGTGAAGGTTCATTCGACTTTTTCCTACAACTAAAACAGACTTCTCACCGGACATTTACTTGTCAATTTAAACATAAATGGGGTGCAACTAACAATTCCTTTCATTTATGTAATTGATGTTCATTAATCTGCAAATAATTTACTTGATTGATTTATCTTTTTCAATTAGTTAATTAATTAGTAGTAATGGTTTCAGCTCTATGATCTATCCGTACTCTTTACTATATTCCACACATATTCAAGATTTTGGTTGTAGTTTGTGCTCCTTCTATTGCATATATCTCAAATCCCTCTTTGTGGTCTTTTCAGCAGCACAAAATATTTGTGAAGAGCAAGTTTATCAGAAAACAATCAACACAGGACCAGTGATGGCCTCAGGAAATCCTGGCTACACAGAGCTCTCAGGATGTCTCAGCTTTTACCCCATGACTAGTGTAATTCTGTGTAACAAGGGGAGCCTATAGACTTCAATGTTACTTCATCCGTGGACATTGGTGGGAAATTCTTTTTCACAGCAGTACTGTACATCACAGGGAACATCAGCATTACACTTTGACAGGCAGAAATATGTGAAGTACAACAAAACAGCACACAAAAGCAACAGGCAAAAACATGAAAACAACGCATGTAGTTCCCTCAGCCAGTCGCCTGTTTAGTGCTGCTATTGCTGCTAAGTACATTTACTCAAGTACTGAGCTTAGTACAGATTTGAGGTATTTGTATTTTGACTGTTTCCTTTTTGTGCTACTTCAAACTTCATTCCTCTACATTTCAGAGGAAAATATTGTACTTTTCCCGTTATCTACCATTTACTACTAATTATCATTTGACAGCTACAGTTGTTTGTTTGTTTTCATTAATATTATACATTAAAAAATAGTATAATAAATTGATAAAATACAAAACATTGTTAAAGATCAAACCAGATTTTTCAGTGATGACCTCTTATGAAAAATCAGTGAAGAAGATGTTTCAGATTTCCCATCTAAACTTGACTGGTTGGCAAAATTTCACATTTCAAGCAAAAGAAAAGAAAAGAGAAAAGTTATCAGAAACAATTAAATTTTTATGGCGGAACGTTGTGTATTTTTTTTATCTTCTTTCCCACTGTTTTTTTTTTTTTAAACTTATTTCTGTGAGCCCATTTGTTATTGTATCATGTCATCAGTGCAGGGCATTACTTCAATAAAACTCATATGATCATCCACCGACAAGCTCCAACAAGTCTACTAATTCTTACTTAATTAAAAGACTGCACCATAACACAACTGATTATCATATGGCAGCGTTTACATTCCTCTACTGCCTGTATGCTGTTGTCTGTGGGATAACCAGCCCTCACAGTGAGACAGAGTTAAGGGTGCGACCACACAACAGTGCAGCTCTTACCGTGTTCAAGGTCCTGCGGGTCGTACCAAGACTCTCCATTCTTGTCAAACTCTTCCTCCAAAATCATGTCAGTTAACATTTTACAGCTGCGGGGCGAGCGGAAACTCCACCTGACAGAAACCCGACACACAGGTGTGTGTTAGTTTTGCAGCTTGAAGTTGTCCGCCGCCTACCGCCTTGTGTAGAGGAAAGTAAACTGCATCCTCCCGGTGTGAGAGGAGCGTTAAGTACGTTGTCTCTACAGCAACGTGGCAAATGTCTAATACTCGACAACATCCGGTAGATGGCAGATGTAAGACATGAATTATTTATAATAAAAAATCACCATCTCTCTCCATTTTATCCGACTTGTCTTTTATCACCGTTTACCAATAAGCTCGAAGAACATGACGAACGGTAAAATAATTTAAAAAAAAAAAAAAAAATTTTGATTGTCAATTTTTTTTTCGTTCTCGGAACTTCCTGCTTTCCTTTGGCAGACATTTTTAACGACGAATCACAAAGCAGCAAATGGAGCCAAAGAATGACTCAGACCAATCAGGTGTTAACTTGTTATCTCTAAGCCCTGCCTCGCTCAAAAGGCACTGGAATCGAGTTTGACAGGGTTTTGGTTTGGTTTCGTAGGACTTTCTTATTGTGACACTGCTTCAGTGAACAGTTGATAAGTTTATTTAACGGGAAGTAACATTATGACATGTGGACCCTCATGCAAATGATACAGCTGGAACGAATACAAGCTCAGTATTGAACGCCTTTTGCTCTGGAATATTGATCTGATGCACTGGTTTTGGTGGTAGCAATAATTATCTGCGATGCTAAACAACAACAGCGTTAAATAGTTTTTGTTGAACGACAACATTTTGTCGCTCAAGGACTCCAGATTGTTAAGTTACTTGAGCTGCCATGGCCTCGGAGGGGAAACCTGCCTCAGGTGTACGCTCTGCAAGAATGAATGCAGTCCGACACCTGATAAACTTTGGGGTCAATCCTGCAGCTCTGGCTTACGCTATGACCACCCTGGGATCTGCCATGATAAACAATATATTCAGCTTCTACTATGTCAAACTCTTTCTCAATAAATACAAGATATCGGAGGGAGCATTCCACCAATCACAAGTGAGTATATTCTCCTGACATATTGCTGTCTTTTTGTATGCAAATGTTCATCAGATATCTTTGGAAAAGACTGGTGTGAAGAATTAAAGTGAAATTTTGATAAGCTGGCTGCTTTCTTTTGGAAAAAGACTGCAACTTGTAAGTGTTTTTGTTATTGCTTAAGTTGTTGATTATTTTATACCACTAATCAATTGTTTGTCTACAAAATGTCTGAAAATAGGGAAGAATTGACAGTGTAATTTTCCAGAGGTCAGGGTGATGTCTTCACATTGCTTTTTTCATTCAAGCCACTGTCTAAAACTTGAAGATACATCATTATGATACATCATTATATAGTTATGCAAATTAGAGAAAATAAGCAAATCCTCACATTTCACAAGCTGGAATAAGTGAATGTTTTGCATGATAAATAGAGACATATCCTATTTAAGAAGGAAGGAACATTACATTACTAATATAACAAAACACAATTTCCTTTCACAGTCAACACTATGTAAATTACAAAATTAGTATTCAGGGAATTTATATATATATATATATATATATATATCCTCTGCCACATTCAAGTCAGCAGTTCTGGAACAACAAAACAAAACATGATGTTGATTAACTAATCAATTGATCATTTTCACAATACTTGAAATTTTGTTGAATAATCTTATGAACTTCCTCTACCCAGGTGGTGTACATGGTGTGGAATGCAGTCAATGACCCTCTCTTCGGTTACCTGCAAGATAACTCCAGGGTGCCCTGTTGCTCTCAGCGACGTCTCTCCATCCTGTACGGTGCTCCCCTCTACTCACTGGCTTTTCTTCTAGCCTGGTTCCCATGGCGGTCCTACGCCCCTGGTGACTGGATGAGCGGCTTACATTTGATGGTGGCGCTGTGTGCTTTTGACGGCATGCTGACTTTTGTGCTGCTGGCACAATGTGCGTTGTTTGCAGAGATATCCAGCCACCATCAGAGCCGACTAAGACTTGTAAAGTACAGCCAGGTAAGGACTTTCTTCTGTGTGCCCCTTTGCCAACTTGGCACAACTTTCATCCTTCTCACATCCCCTATCTTTGTTTTCCCAGGTGGCTTCTCTCATTGGCTCCTCCAGCGTCCTCTTCTGTGGTGTGCTGTCCAGAAACATGGAGGACTTCACAGCCTTCCAAGCCTTCACAGTGCTCGTTGCTATCCTGAGCTGTGGCTGCATGCTCTATACAGGCCTCCACAGTGAGAGCCGTTTTGATAACAAAGGATCTCAATCAGATGCAGTGGGGTGTGTTGACCAGACTTCCCAACAGTTTGCGGTTTCCTTCTCCATGTTAAGAACATTGATGTGGCAAATCCTGACCAATAGGGATTTTCAGCTATTTGTGCTCATGAACTTCTTCCAGGTTTTCATGTTGGCTTTCTTTAATAATTTTACCATGATATTTTCTGAGCACCTGATTCCTCCAGATGTGCTTCCATCTCTGGCCAAGAGCATCATGTATGGAGCGGGATTCATCTGTCCACAGGTATTGACCTCCCAGAAAAAATGGAAGCTGTAGCTAAATAGGATCATTTTCATTTATTTCTTTTATGGGTCCTTTTGTTCTCCTATTACCTCAGAAGACCATACTGACACTTTTGCATAGTTAAATCTATCAAAATTGCATGTCCTTCACTCACATTTCTGCTGACTTTTTTTAAAATGACATGTTTTCAAAACACTTGATATACTACTTATTAATAATAATATTTTTTAACTCTGTCTGTTGTTCCTAATTATTTATCCCCATCCCAGCTGTTAGTGTTGAGCTTTCAGAGTCTGCTGCATGGTCTTGGCTACTACAGGATCATCCTCTTCGCCTTTTACGTGGAGGCTGGAATGGCGGCTATCATGTTAGCGCTTGGTCCTCAGCATTACTATATCCTGGCATTTTTCCTCACTGTTAACATGTAAGAGGCTAAATGATTTCTTCCATTTTTTTTATAATCACTGTATAGAATCGCTTCAGTTTGTTTAATTCATACCTACATTATCATACTTATCTTCTTTGCAGGGTCATCATTCAAGCTGCCTTCAGTCTTTTCAGCTTGCCCTTGGCTGACATCATTGATACAGACCTACAGTTGTACAAGCGCAGGTAAAGAAATATGATTATCAGCACACTTTCACTAACTCAGCCATCCCTCACATAGAAATATATGGTGCCTTTCATTCAGCATTGTCCTTAAACCTTTGGGCCAAATACATTGACATATCTCATGAAACCACTTTGTCTTGTCTTTTTTTGTTTACAATCAAACACATTCAGGTTATATGACTTGCAAAATGATGTTTTGTCATGATGTTCTTTCCACCCATGCTACAGTTCCCCTCTCTCCTCCATGGTGTTTGGGACGAATGCTTTGTTCACCAAGCCAGCTCAGTCTCTGGCCCCTATGATAGTGCTCAGTATCCTCAACCAGTTTGGATATGAACAACTGAAGGAAGCAGGAAGGGATTCAAACCCAAGGTACAAACACTTTCTTGCTTCTTCCGGAGTTAAAGGTCCAAATTTGAGCCAAAAGATTAAAACCAATTAAAACTGATGTTGGGATAGGACTGATTATCGTGTCTGTTAATATTTAGAATTAGTGAAGTGGTCACCACTGAAGATACATTTCCTAATTCTGCCCATCCATGTTTTATCTATTTAATTTTTAACCTTTATAGATGTACATCACTTTTAATATAATATCAATTATTGATTTTTTGATCCTCTAGATTTGATAAATCTGTGGACAAATATTATTATAAGGGGTCCAGGTACTGATGGTGACCCCTGGATCTAAACCTTTTAACCAGCTGATTAAAAATAATCTGGAATTTATATAACCCCGAACAACTTTACAAAGCATTAATATCCAGTCCCCTGTTCACAACTGCATTACAGTGCAACAATAACTTAACTTTGACCAATAAAGTATTAGATCACTAAGATGGACTGAAAGCAAGTTTTAAGTTTTAAAGGAATAAATTCAGTTTAAACAAATTTAAACATACAAACACTTTGTGTCTATAAGAGAAATCTTCTTCTTTGCAGCACCTTTGAGAGCCTCCACAGTGTGATGTTCTACCTGGTGTGTTTGGTGCCATTGTGTGTCTCTGCTGTGCAAGTCCTAGCTTGGAGGCCATTTTCAATCCGTGACAGTCACACAGTCGACACAAAGTACATTGACAACTAATTTCAGTGTTTTCAACAGCTGACTGTCATTTCTTTACCTTGAATTTTGGAAAATTCTTTATGACTTACTGAAAGATCATGTTGAAAGTAATGTGCAAATATATATAAATATATATTTATGTATATAGAGAGAAAGAATCCAGGATTTTGTATATATATATTTTGAAAGAATCCTAGGTTATATATATATATATATATATATATATACACCTTCTAATTCAATGGTTTTATTATTCTCTACATTTTTTCTACATTTTTGGATATTGATGATCATTTGTTGGATCTGAAAGTTTTGATATGAATATGAAATTATATTTGTGATCATTAGTTGGATGTGAATGTCTTTAACTGCTGTATATGAAAAGACCAATGATGCGCCTTTAATTAGTACTTTATGCATTCCCACTGTCTCATCCTCGAACACTTAACACGATAGGGATATCATGGGATCATGATACTTTGTCAGTCTGGGAGTCCACTACCTTGACAAATACAGTCCTTTCACTTGTGTTAAATGTGAGACACTTTGTCCCATCACTGACTTCTGCAGGTAATTAGCAGGAACATACTGTATGATGGCTGTGCTCTGCAAGAAAAGGACCAAATTCCTCAAAAGGTATATGCGAAGATTCAGAATACAGTTTTGTTCTTAAAGGAGGAATTGTACTTGTTTCAACATGTTGCTACAGAAATTGGCAGAAATTGTCCTAAAACAATCAAGTGAAACAGAAGTGATACTAACAGTGGAAATTAAGAGCAGTTGTCTTCCCTTAACAGTAACAGCAACATCCAGTTAAAGGAAGAATTATACCTGTATGGCATACAGCAACAGCAGCTAAAGGTCATAGCCCTTGAACCAAGACTGCTCATTGAGAGGAACTGACTAATGACTACCTCCTATGTAGGAGCACATTTTGCCACACCGTATGGTAGAATGACTTAACAAAAATTTAAAGAATATTCGTTTGGATTTTTTTATTTAAGGACTTTCACATTCCAGGCTTGAGTTTGGTTTCATGATTAAGAGCATTGTCATTTTGTAGTGCAGACACACAAAAAGACAGGCAGCTGATATCTGTAATATTTTTTCAGGCAGTATATCATTCTGTTATATCCATCTGTGTGATGGAGAAAAACTAAAAGCATTTGAGTTACCCTGGTTACACTCCATATTTTGCTGTTGAGAGACTGCGAGCACTGCTCACATGTAGACTGCAAATGCTGGCAGCATCACATGTCATAAAGGAGCGTCACTCAAGTGGCCAGTCCTACAGTGCTCCTGCATGCTCATATATGGGTCGCAAGTATGGCTTTTGTTTTGATGAGTAGAAGATGTGAAGTGTGCAAGACAGAAATTGTCTCATTTTGCAAACTGCGTGTTTGTAAGTTGCAGCTTTGGTTGAATTGGCCACAGGTTGCGCAAACATGCGTGTTGTTTAATTTCATTATTTAAGTATATAACAGGGTCATCTGAAGAAAAAAGTGAAAGAAATGCCACCAACATGACAGTAATTACTGTCATTTTTGCTGTAAACATGTGCAAATAGATATTCAGTTTACAGTAGAGAGTCATGAAGGAGAGGAGGCAGAAAGGGAAGAATTTACACAGACTTTTAACGGATGTTTGCATGAATGATCAAAAACCTCAGAGGTTCAAATCCCAGCTTTTAATTTGTGAAAAAACAAGAATATATGTACATAGCATTTATCTTGACCTTTTGAGTAACGTATAACTAAATTCTAATATTAACTGGAGGGATCTGCATTCTTTCTGTGGGCATTTGCAATAGACAAAAACAGATGACAGTCACCGAGCAGAATGTGTCAGGATGATGCCTCAAAAACATATCAGAAGTTGACAGGTGATTCTTTTAGAGTAAGAACCAATATAACAGCAAAAATTATACCTTTTCCTTTCCCCTTTCCTTCAATATAGTCTATTATTGGCTGTATTAAATATACAGTAATCTTCAATGTGCCTTTTTTGTCATGTTCAACTTTCTATGGTCAAATTACATCTTGAATCTTTTTTTTTTTTTTTTTATTAAATGTATTTCTACACAACTACAACCTGAATATGACCTATATTTTTACATGTTTGCAAGTTTGCAATTTCCTTATGTGTCAAGAAGGAGTGGATTAATTTAAATCATTTTGATGTAAAGTGCTATTTTTAAACGGCAGTTTGAACCCTCAAAGCGAAGCATACTGTAATCCCTGCTGGTGAAGTTTGTCCTGACAACGACATGATGCCAACGTGATCTGTGTATCCTGAAAATGTAAATTACATGGGCTACTTTTTACTCTCTATTCCTGAAAGCACCATTCATAAATATTGTTTTTCTATCAAAGGGCTTATTATCCTAAATATATGGAGGAAGTTTCTGCATTAAAATCTGCAAAATACTGCATTTAAATTACATGTGACTCAGCTACATCACGAATTGGATGTTCTCGTTTTTCCAGGTATACACTGACCTGGTTTCTGAGGAGAAATTCTTGAATGTCTTCCAAAATTGATAATCAACAGAATGTAGGTAGGCTTTACAAATGCCATAAGATCACTGCTGAAGCTGAAAAAGAGAAGGAATAATGACTCAGCACCTTTGTACTGGTATTTATATCTCACTTCATGAGAAAAGGTGAGCAAGCACACAACTGACTAGCATCCTCTGCGTTTATGTTCATTTCCACAGTCACGAGTGTCCTTTTGTCAGGTGTTTCATGGCTTTGGAATTTCCTCTCAATCCAGACAATGGAGGCCCGACTCTATCATTTAATATCCTTTTCCGACACTTAGACATTTTGATAGATGTCATCGGTTGAGCTGTTCACTTCAGGACTTGAAGCCTGCAACATACAGTACATACATGCTGTGACATAAGCTATGCAGAAGTTTCATGCTTACCAAATCTTTCTGTTGACTAAGGTTAACCATAACATGCTGCAACAAAATTTACCTCCACTTGAGAATGGTTTCTGACTGCAGTTTGTTTGTCTGTCTCCTGATTCCTTCTGTTGTTCATTTCTCGCAGCACATCTCGAAATTGTGTTTTTTTACTTCCGTGATTCTGAAAGTTCCGAAGAAATGTATTATAATACAAAGATATTTGGAGATTTGTCTTTCTGTATTTAATTTCAATGAAAATCAACAATTGAACTATTGCTCTGAAATTTGTGTTGCTGCAAGAGAGAGGCCTTAGTTCCTGTTCCTCTTTCTTGCTTCTGTGGGCTTTTCCCCATTTAGTAAACATTTAACAAGCCAAACAGAAAATCAAACACTTACAATCTTGCCAGTTTTGCACATCCTTTTGCGGAAACTCATATTGCAGCCACACTGCCAAGAAAGGAAGATGTTAATTTCATTACTATATAGTACATTTTCAATTGTATGAATAGAAATAAATACGTTGAGGTAATGTACCTTTAAAATGATAAGTGCCACTACTGCCATGCTGTAGATGACCAAGAGGACAAATGATAACAACAGAAGAATGTGCCTTGCCATTGTTTTAATTTCTCCTGGAAACAAAAGAAAAGTTTTCTGTCTGCCTTAATTCATCTTAACCAAAGCATTCTGTGCTTAACCTTTAAAATATTTTTTTCTCTCAAAAGACTCACCTTTCACTATAAGAGTTGTGCCCACCCCTACATGCTGTGTGCCGTTTGCTGGTTGTCCAGGCCATACTGCAGCACAGTGGTAGATCCCACTGTCATTAGCATTGAGTGACCTGATGTGTAAAAATGCTCCGTCCAGGGAATATTTGACAGGATTCCGCAGGTTGAGACGAGGATGGGAGGTTTCTTTGAAAACGAACCACTCATAATGCAAGCCTGTGGCTGAGCAGTGTAAACTGACATTACAAGGCACAACAGCATCTTGTCCAACTTTCCTCCAGATCTCCTTCACTGGCTGTGTTAAGCAGCCTTCTGCTATTCCCATGCTCTCTGGAAATATCAAATTAATTATTGTCAAAATAACTATCTATTACTGTACAGGAGCTCTGATGCCTAATTCTTATTGCTCATGTGGAAGAATGAGAATTAGTAACCACTACTTCCTAAATAAATAATGCACGTAATGCTAGGACAGATGTAGGAAAGACATTTTACCTGTTACTAGCAGGTGGGTGAGCAGGAGAGAAAACCAAAACAACCAGTCCATGTCTGTAGCTTGACAGCTTGTGAATGATCTCATGATTCCTGGCATGATGGTATCGAAATGGCCGAAAATATGGGAAGTAGGTGTACTGCTCTTCCCCATCACTTAGTTCCTCCTTCTTGTGCTGTGCAGCTGAATGGTAACACAATATTTTTTTCCGAAACATTTCAGTTTATTTATGGTAAAATGACACAGTGAATTATGTATTAGAACTGAAGGTAGACTGAGAATTTTCTAAGATGTGTCATTATTAACAGGAAACCAGTGGCATGTTATTACTTATGCATTTCTGAAAATGTAGGTATACTGTACAATCATCTCTGTGTGTAGGCAGTGCAAAAAGGAAGAAAATGTGTAATGAGATGTTGAAAATACTCAGCAAGGAGAGGCAAATGTTGAAATGGTGAAACTTGAGTATTGAATGGAAAACATGCAATGGAATGAGAGTCAGAAAACAGTAAGTCTAGTTTCGGTTTGAAAGAATCATTGAAAACATTAATACAAATTGTTATTTTGACTGTTTGTCATGGCCATATCAACCTGCTATTAAATTAGCTCCTGGGCCCCTACCCAGCCCCTTTTCTATGAATTAGTATTTCTCTTTTGAAATATTACATAACACTTGGTTTGCTATGTTGCAATTTGATTAAACAATACTGAGTTCATGGTGCACTATGTAAGCACAGTATCAGCCAAAATCACAATATGTAGATTTTGATATAGGGGCCCTCTTTTCATATTCCCATACTACCAAACAACATTACAATTAAACACACACACACAATGAATCTGGTGCTTTTAGGGGCCCCTAAAAGTCTGTGGCAGGGACCTACTTTGCCCATTTGGTAACTGGCGTATATGAAACCAAAAAAAGTATAATAAATAATTCTCACAGAATTGTACTTAAGTAGGATTTTGATTTTGAATGCATGTATTACAAGTATTAGAGTAGAGAAACAGTAATGTTGGTAATTTAACTTAAGTAAAGGATCTGACTACTTCCTGCACCGTTGGCACTGGCCGTGTTAAAATAAATAATAATGTTAATTGCTGCTGAAGTACTGGTCCCACCCAGTCCCTCCTCATGCATGCAGGACCTACAGGGCTCAGGTTCAGTCCCTCTCTGCACAGCCTTGTAGGCGGATCATCTCGTGCTGTCAGTCAGATTTTTGTCCAATCCAAATCTCTCCGTGTGTTTTGTCACGCCCCCTTCCACGTCGACCTGCACTCTCGCCATATTTTCAATCCTGTTGAGACCCGCAGCCCGGTTTGCCACCAAGTTGACCAAGAGACCCCCTCACACAAGCCAGCATAAAGTGTGAAAAGGATCAGCTTCTTAGCAAAAAGGGACATCTACGTTAGCTTCCCAGCTTTGTCTTTCTCTTCATCCTGCAACCATGAACATCTTCAGACTGACAGGGGACCTCTCTCATCTGGCTGCTATCATCATCCTGCTGCTCAAAATATGGAAAACCAGGTCGTGTGCAGGTGAGCCCTAGCTACATTTTCAATGACATATGGTACAACGTGGATTTCCTAATGTTTCTGATTAACTTTACCTTTCTTTAATGGCTGAAATGGTCGTTTATTTTTACCTTGTCCCTTCTCGCCCACCAAGCTCCAAGGTAGCTAGCCTCATGATAACGTGTTCCACTCATTCATTTGATCCAGTGGCTAATGGCGTTAGCAGTCAATGAGCTAACTTCCATAACAAGTAAAAACTGCGGTCTGCACTTCTATTACTTCTACTGCAACATTTACTGTAAAGATATAATTAAACATTGAAGTTAGTGGCAACAATATTCAAATGTAGCATAGCAATAGCTTAGTGTGAGTTAACCATGATAGCTAAGCTGCGGGACGAGAGTGTGTGTAGTCAGTTAGATGTCTGCAGTTTAACTGATGAATGAGCAAAATAATTAAAGGTTTTATTAGAAATGTTTTACTTGGTGCAGTGTTTCCGCACATCACCCATCCATTCGCTCCTGCTCTGCTAACTTGAGGTTTGGTGCTCGATTCTTTTGGTCTGGCTTCTGACGTGGCGTTCTAGAACGCGCTACGGAAGTAGCTCACCTCCAAAATAGTTTGTGTGTTCGGTTTTTTTAGTCATGCTTAATTTTTTATTTATAGCTCTTATAAACATGTGTTATGTGTTAATAGTAAGCTGCACCTGAGTATTACAGACAATGGTGATTCCTCTTATGCACTCTGGTCTCGGTGGTGGATCCTACTTGGGTTTATGATAAGTGCAGTGATTGGATACAAAGCTGTATGGTTTAGCTTCAAAGCTAAAAAGTTATGTTTGGAAACAGATGACAGATAAGATGGCTCTGTTTATGTATAATTTAGGTTATCATGGTTAGATATTATGTAGTGATTATTTTGTTATAGTGAAACCATATATACATCTTGCAAAATCACTAATTTGCCTCAACAAACTTTACAAACTATATACCATAGACCCTCAATTAGGGAAGAGGGAACCAGCACTCCCATCCCACACCAAAAACAAAACAGGGAGACAACAGTGAGGACATCAATTAACTTCAAAATCCTGCCAAACACTGGTAGGACTTTGACCCCTAAACCCTCCTCTCAACCATGACAACCTGGACTATACATACTGTAAAACTGCTTATACCATTCACACAGAGGTATACTGACAAGAGATGCTTAGAGAGGATGAAGCAGGCAACTGCAGACCACACATGATGTGAATGCAGGGGTAAGCACAGATGGAGGAAACACTGGGGTCTCATGCAGGATGAGGACCTGCTTATTCTTTGCAGGGGAATGGTGTGAGGGCTGCAGCCTCTTCCACCATGCGTTAGGCTAGATCCAAGGTAAATCTCGGACAGGTCGGCAGGCTATCACAGGCTATCTCACACATACAGACAGATAACCATCCATACTCGCATTCACACCTACGGCCAGTTTCAGGTTCACCTGACCTTCATATTTTTGAGGCTTTGTGCGAGGAAACCAGAGCACCTGCGGAGACCCACAACCATTCTTGCTTTGAGGCAACAGTGCTGATCACTGCACCATCTTGCTGCCCTGTGTGGATCACAGATAATGTTAAGCTCATTTATAAGGTTACAAGTTGTTATGTTCAGGTGTGGTCATGGTCAGGGGAAGGAAAATTCTGGCAGGGATGCCTGCACCTAAAATAATGTTGTAAGAGGCACCATTTTGTGTATGATGAGGTTAGAAATGCAAACAGACTCAGAGCAAACCTGGACATACATGTGTCTTGTGTATTGTCTTCTCCTGATGCCCTGTGATGACGCAGTGTGTAACTCAAGGATAGTAATCCACACACCTGAAATGCCTATGTGTCTGCCATCTCCTCTCTCAATGTCATCCTGTCAGTTTTTATATTTTGGTTTCTGAGAAGTTAAGCCTGTATTTAGAAGCCACCTATTTGGACATTTTTGTAAAACTAACCTACAATAATTTTAGAAAGTAAAATTGGTTGTAAATTGGGCATACTTGCATGTAATTCGATATATTATCCTTGCAAAAATAAGTCCAAAATGAAGAAACATGTTGTTATTGTTGTCTGAGGTTGCAGATAAATATTCACCATTTTCCCAGAAGATGTCACTGTTGAATAAGGAAAAGCATTAAGATAGTGAAGCCATTCGGAAGTTGCTTGTGGCTTTGGTATACTTTCAATGTAAATGCTAAATGTGCTTGATATCTTCGTTAAAGGTATCTCTGGAAAGAGCCAAATCCTGTTTGCAATTGTGTTCACCACGCGCTACTTGGATCTGCTCACCTCCTTCATCTCCCTCTATAACACATGCATGAAGGTAAGACACCAGTCACATCTCAGGCCTGACCAGTAGCCTTTCAAACAGGTCTCCTATTTCTCCCAGTACCTTGAATGATGAGCGGTTTTGTGTTGTTTACCAGGTGATATACATCGGTTGTGCGTATGCCACAGTCTACCTGATCTACTTGAAATTCAGGGCCACCTATGACGGCAACCATGACAGTTTCAGAGTGGAGTTCCTGGTGGTTCCTGTTGGAGGTCTCTCTGTTCTCATCAACCATGACTTCTCTTTCCTAGAGGTGGGTTCATCCTCTTGTATTGCCATCAAACTGTGACTGAATTCATTGATTAGGAACTAACCACTATGGGAATACATAGTCCCTTTGTAGACATGAAATTAACTGTATTCCTGCACATTTGAATTGAACTTCTGTCATCAGATCCTTTGGACATTCTCCATCTACCTGGAGTCGGTGGCAATCCTGCCTCAGCTCTTCATGATCAGCAAGACCGGCGAGGCAGAGACGATCACCACCCACTACCTGTTCTGCCTGGGGATGTATCGAGCCCTCTATCTCTTCAACTGGATCTGGCGTTTCTACTTTGAGGGCTTCTTTGACATGATCGCTATTGTGGCCGGCGTGGTCCAGACTGTCCTCTACTGTGACTTTTTCTACCTTTATGTCACCAAAGGTGGGTTATACAATGCTCACATGTCCATATACATCTTTTTAAAGGCATTATTTGTTGATGTTATCATTCTTCCCTGCCCGGCAGGCCCTGAAGAGTAACTTCAATGTAAGAGATAAGGGACAAAATCCACACAGTCCTTGTTCCCTGAAAAACCTCAAGAAGTTCAGCCGAAGCTAATATGAGAAATCTGAGTTTCCTGAATGAAGTGGGTATTTTCCAAAGTTATGGTCTTTTCTAGTACAAAATTCCCTCTTTGTGTTACTGTCCCTTCACAGTAGTTAAGCAAGGAAACACAGTCCCAGGAAACACACAAAGGGAATTTTGTGCGAATAAGGAAATACGCACTTGGTTTGGCGAACACAGACTGCTGAAGCATCACATTAGCTTTCACTGAGCTTAAGAATCCCTTTTTTTCTCACGAAACCAAGGCTGTGGATTTTGTCCCTGATTGCTTACAGTCGCATTAGAAAAAAAAGTCTGTTGTGAGTAAAGTCGATACAGTTCAAGACTTTTCCTCACTAATAGTACCCTCCTCAATCACACCAAAGTTGCAGCCCAAATCTGTAACTATTCACACTAGTGCAGTTAAAAAAAAAAAAAAAACACAAGTGTATATGTAACATGACCCATACTGCAGGGTTCTGAAGAGATGTTTTCAAACTTGAAACCATGTTTGTCGGTTACCAGAGCCAGTTATTTCAATACGGTAATTTTCTTGGAGCCAGCATCTAGTTGCCATTGTAGTTGCTTGTAGCCTGTTCCTTAAAACACAGGCACGTTTTTAGTAATTCAGGAACCTTACATACATTTCCACCAGAATAAACAGTTTAAATTTAGTACCTCATTGCAGCCAAAACATCCCTTCGTTTAGTAGCACTTTCTTATTGCCCAGGAACCGTTGTTGTGTTCAGCCTCATTTACATTAGTGTTGCCACTAGTATCAGGATTAGGAGGAGAAAAGGACATTTGTTATTAGGGATGTCCCAATCAAGTTTTTCTTTTGGCCCTGATCCCGATATGAATCGTTAATCTGCCAGTAGTCTGATCTGATACTTATATTTAAATGTTGATTAACTGTGTATGACACATTGAAACAACAGCTGACACGTATTATTTTATGTGAGCACATTCATCCAAACACTGAAGGTCCTGATTCAAAATGATTAAGTTTAAAAGCCTAAATGTTTGATATAGTACAGCTAAAAGTTAACAAGGAGAAAACAACTCTGGAAACTGACATGATGTGATTAACTAGAGAGAAGATGTATCACTCTCTTGTCTTCCCTCACAAACAATCTTTGGCAGACTACAAACACAGGCTGCAGAGAGGACTATAACCTGACAACAGCCAAGTTTTATTTTTGGCCGTCATGAAGTTGTCACCTGATTTGACCTGCTGCCGGTGACGGTTAGAGCCAGCTAAATATGACAAGCTACTACCTGAATGTTTTGTACACTGCTCTTGGCTAATAAGTAGAACAGAGGGGAGATAACAGATTTGTAGGCACCTGAGCTTTGGGAGTCTGTGTATTTTGCCAACGTCAGCGTCTGAACTCAGAAAATAATTTTACGCTTTAACACATATTAATCTTAACTTGGATGTACTGCAAAATGCTCGCTCTATAGGCTGTCATATAAGATAGTAGTGCTGCACATCAGTCTCCAAAGTCAGTGACCTCCTTCTTCACCTCTGTGTGTCTCCATTGCATCCAGTGAAACATGACAGCAAATTACGAAGAACAACACCACTCTGTGTTATTTGCTCTGTGTGAAAATGCTGTCGTCATTGGTCTAATACGCTAAATCTTCATGGTTCCTCAGATGGGGTGGACACACTAATAGGAATGTGCACAAGGGCCTTTTAGTCTCAAGTTTAGTTCCTGGGGCTCTGTGGTTCCTGGGAGTATTTAGTTGAAAATGGCTCTGGTTCTTTGTTTCCTGCTTCATGACTGTCTTGAACTTTTTCTCATTCCTCAGTGTTGAAAGGCAAGAAGCTGAGTCTGCCAGCGTAAAACATACAGGAGGCGATGGCGACTCCCAGCAGACTCAGGGGGTGTGGAGATGACATCATGGAATCTCGTGACCTATAGCAAAGGATGCCTGAGGCAGAGAGCCAACTAACGGGGAAAAACACTAGTCTTCTTGATGATTGCTGATGGAACTGGTAAATGCCAACAAACACCAGAGCTGAACAAAGATCATCCCAGATCAACCTTTGGATTTCTGTGTTCAGCATCTTGCCTTAAACTTCTTTTCATTGCTGTTCAATTAGGAGAAAAGGCTCTTTTTTTTTTGTTTTTTTTTTTACATGTGAGGTGTATACGCTTATTTTTTTTATTTCTTATTTTTATAATGTCACAAATAGGGTCGACTCTGAGAAGTACCTTGTTTGACTTGGTAATGAAATGCACAAATGTACAGTCTTATTAAAGAGTGAGATAAAGAGTAATGTTTCTGAGTGCCTCATGAGGATTATGTCCATTTTCTCACAGTATTTTTTGGTTTAATGATTTTTTTTTTTATCTTAATCATTGTTTGCATATGCTGTAACACATGTAGCCTCTCATGAAAACATTTTAAAGAGGACACACATCATTTTTGTAAAAACATTGCTTTCTGAAATCACTCAAGACAACATTTAAAAAAGATTTTCTCTCTTCTAAAAATCAAAACTTTTTTGTAAGTACAACTCATTCAGTTTAAGATATAAACCATAAAATACCTAACTTTAACGCCAGCAGTCTTTTTGTCATAGGTGTCGGTATCTTCAAATGTGGGTATCTCATTTGGAATTCAACTTTCCATGTGATCTTTTTTTTTTCTTCAGCTTAGTGTATCGAAGAAGCTAAAATGCATCAATTGTTCTTCAGCTTTAATATAGATTTCATACAATCTTAAAACAATGCTACATCCCATTTTGGATGTAGATACAGCACAGACTTTGTTTCTGTCATTACTGCACCCCAGTAACAAAGGCATGAACACCTTCCAACAGTGGCTTGTCAAGGCTGAAATCACTGACACAAAGCAATAATGAATGACTGAATGACGATTACACTTATCGTACCAAGATGAGAAGTGTGCAGATATTTGACATGAGAATCCTCCAGCACTTTGACTGGTTGTGACATCTTGGTCGTTAACTGTCTGGAGTGTGAACATTATGCTGCTCAGTAAGTGAGTAGAGATTGTCATGGTGTTCATTGGGTACATTTCTATTAAAGGCCTCATGTTAACTTCAACCTTTTCAAATTTGCCATTCCTAAAGGATTATTTCAACTTTTTATGTGATTTTTTTTTTTTTTTTTTTTTTTTTTTTTTTTTTTTCTCCTTTGTGCATGATATCACCTCCATTAAAGATTTTATGAAAATCACCCTCCAGTGTTGCTGTGTGATTATTGATATAATGTAAGCACTGATGAGTACAAGTGCAGCTTTATTTAAGGCCTCCTTCACTCAAAAATGTATTTTACTTGGATGTTTGATCTTCCCTGTGCAGAACGATATATGTGCAGTTTGACACTAGGAAGTTGTTTTCACATCCATCTGCTGAAGGAGGAAAGTTGCTCTGTGCTCACCTTAAATCTTGACTCTTACGAAAATGCATTTTCATAGATTCTGGATTTTTCTATGACAGAGGAGGAGTACACATTTTAATAATTTGTGATCAGTGTAAACTTTTTTTTTGTGGAAAAAAACTTGAAATTTTTATTATGGGCATAGTATTTTATGTATTAAATACATTTTAAAGGGAAGCAACATGCACATTCAATCAAATTAAGCAGACAAACTCCTTTCCATATAGCTCTACAAGAAGGCCCACAGGAATATGTTTCAGTTGTGAGGGAGTCTCCTCTAAAGTTCTTTGTCATACATGGGAGATTCTTTTGTATGGAAACATTTGTAGTTAATCATACCATATTGATAGAGTAGGGAGATATAAATAGAGTCAGACATGTAGGATCTCTTGTTTGGACAGAAGACCAGAGCAAACTTTCATTCTAATGAGCTTTTATTCATACTGTCTTACAAATGCAGGTTGTTCTTTTCCAGGTAACAGCAAACAAAGACATGTAACAGTATATTGTAGTGCATCTTCACTGCCTAAGAGGCACAAACATTAAATATCAAAATGCAAATGCAAACATTCATAAATATAAAGGCATTTTCAGACTGAAAACCATAATCAACAACGGAGTTTTTCCTTTAGTGATAGAAAAGAGCTGCCATTCCAAGATCTGTGCATTTAGAATATGCACAGATCAGACATATATCAAGGCGTCTGTATTTGGATAATTAGGCAGTTCAAAAATTAGATTACAGGCCATTGGCTGTTGTAGACATTATATAACTATTGCACTATATGAAGATAATAACACTTTTCATTTCAATATTAAGGTTTTAGGCATACAGTAACCACCAGTCTTTGTGCTTAGAAAATCTGTTACAACAGCAGATCCCAGACTCAAGCCACCATACATTCAAGCATCTGTGTTCTCTGAATCCCAACCATCAAGCTTCAGCAGCGCTGATTTAAGCTTTCTGTAAACCATAGATGAAAGTTGAGAGAAGACGAAGAGAGCTACTGCATTTCCTTCAGTTTTGAGGATTCACAATTATTCTCCTTCCCCTGGACTTTATGTTGCTGATGGGAATAAAGGAGAAGAGAATGACATAAATAACAGTGTCTAAACATTTAATAGTTCCTTGTGATACAGTGTCAGTGTAAGTAATATGAACGTGTGTATATATACTACCACTTTAGAAGAGATTATGTTCAGGCATTATATACTGTATATAATAAAATAACTAGAGCTGAGTCTGCAGTACATTACCTTTGTCAGTCGTGAGTCGTAGTAGTTGAGGATGTTGAAGATGGTGATATAAAAAACATTAAAGATGACTGAAACCATAACAGCAAAGAAGGCGAGGCCAGAGAGCACACACAGCAGAGTCAACCCTCCCACAAACAACAGGAACACTGGAGGAGACAGTGAAAAAGATTTCAGGTGTGTGGCTGTGAGGTGCAGTGTCACAAAACATTACAATGCAGAGGCTGATTTTGACATGAGTACACCTACCCTCAAAGAAAATAAAACCTACTGCTGACATAATAATGGTCACAAGAGCAAAAACAAGGAAAAGTCCAACAGGCAGTGCAGCCATAACACCGAACACCATCACTGTGAGAGCTAAGACAGGATGGCTGCTGAGGTACTGCCCAAGCCTCGTCTCCATCACCTGTGTTACCTGGAAAAGACACTTGTCATTCAGCTGTGAGGAAATTGAGAAAATAAAAGAAAAAAAACACTAAGATTTTTTTGTAACAGATGCAGGGGATTACATTTTGGGTTACCTTTGGGTCATCATGAAGGCGGTTCAGCAGGGTGGTCCATCTTTCCTGCAGCTGCTGAAAGTTAGTCACACTGCTGTTGTTCTGCATCTCCACACCGTACGTGACTGTAAATAAAACTTGGTCATTCTGACTGGTAAAATCCCACCACTGATGTACTGGTTAAAAGTAAATCCAGCAACACTAATTTACAGCTTGTTGGAGCAGATTTCCATTTCCATTTTAATAAAAAAGGTGGCACACAGAATAGATTCACTGTAACCTCAATGACTGTAACAGAAGACTTAGCTCTTAGTTCACTAGCCAGCAGCGGTCCTGGAGCTCAGCTGCCAAAATTTACCAGATAATACTTAGTTGTACTTTTTTTAAAAAGTTTAGTTGAGCAGTACAAACCTGACCAATGTCGTAAACCTGGAGTGATTCTCAGCAAAGGTCTGCTCACAATTTCTGAAACTGTGTCCTGTAGGTTGCCTCAAATACTCTAACAGCAGCAGCAACACACCCTTTTTAAACACACACCTTCTTCTTCCTTTTCTTCCTCCCCCTTCTTCCTCTTCTGGATTCCTAGAAGAGAGACTCTAAATCGCTTGTAGATATTATTGCTGCCATCTGCTGTTTGCCAATTATGTTGCAGAACACCACTGCATATGACACTGTGAGACCATATAATATTCATTTGAAATGTCCGCTTATTTACTGGAAAACTGAATCTACTTTTCAGAAAATGTCTGATTTCACTCTATAAGACATAGAAGGAGGGCTTTAGGGAACAGAATAAATAAATAAATAAATAAGTAATGTGCACAGTTAATCAGAAGTATGTAAATATAGAATATATATTGTGTTCAACTATTGATTTATTTATCTATTTATCATTTCATTCATTTTTGTACTTATGGAAATAATGTAGTTATTCATTGGAGTTTTTTGACGTTTTATTCCACACTATAGGCCTACTATGACATTTTTGAAATTTTTAGGCCATACTATACTATGATGTTTTTTGGCATATTTATGCCTAACTATACTATGTCGTTGTATTACTTACTATACTATGACATTTTTTGACATTTTCTTGCCTTAATGTACTATGTCATTGTATTCATTGCCATGCTTTGAGGTTTTTAAGACCTTTTATGTCTTAATATACTATGATTTTTTTTTGACGTTTTATGCCATACTATGACATTTTTTGACATTTTTTTGCCATAATATACTATGTTGTTGTATTGATTGCCATACTATGAGGTTTTTAAGACCTTTTATGTCTTAATATACTATGATTTTTTTTTGACGTTTTATGCCATACTATGACATTTTTTGACATTTTTTTGCCATAATATACTATGTTGTTGTATTGATTGCCATACTATGAGGTTTTTAAGACCTTTTATGTCATAATATACTATGACATTTTTTTGCCGTTTTATGTCTCACTATACTAAGACAGTTTTCACATTTCATGCCTTACTACAACGATGATGTTTTTTCACATTTTTATGCCTTACTATACTATGATATTTTTGTGACATTTCATTCCTTACTATATGATGATGAACTAAGACGTTTTTTGATTCTTTCATGACTTTATATACGATGATGTTTTTTTTTTTTTTTACATTTTTAGGCCTTGCTATACCATGACGTTTTTTGACATTCTTATGCCTAACTATACTATGTCGTTGTATTCATTGCCATACTATGAGGTTTTTAAGACCTTTTATGCCTTAATATAGTATGGCGTTTTTTTGACATTTTTATGCCTTACTATACTATGACATATTTTGACATTGTTATATTCATTGCAGTTCTATGAGGTTTTTAAGACCTTTTATGCCTTAATATAGTATGGCGTTTTTTTGACATTTTTATGCCTTACTATACTATGACATATTTTGACATTGTTATATTCATTGCAGTTCTATGAGGTTTTTAAGACCTTTTATGCCTTAATATAGTATGGCGTTTTTTTGACATTTTTATGCCTTACTATACTATGACATATTTTGACATTGTTATATTCATTGCAGTTCTATGAGGTTTTTAAGACCTTTTATGCCTTAATATAGTATGGCGTTTTTTTGACATTTTTATGCCTTACTATACTATGACATATTTTGACATTGTTATATTCATTGCAGTTCTATGAGGTTTTTAAGACCTTTTATGCCTTAATATACTATGATGTTTTTTTGACATTTTATGCCATACTATACTATGACATTTTTCACATTTTTATGCCAAACTATACTATGATATTTTTTGACATTTTTTTTGCCTTAATATACTATGTTGTTATATTCATTGCAGTACTATGAGGTTTTTAAGACCTTTGATGCCTTAATATACTATAATATTTTTTTGACATTTTTATGCCATACTATACTATGATATTTTTGACATTTTTATGCCATACTATACTATGACGCTTTTTGGCATTTTTATGTCTTACTATACAATGTCGTTGTATTCCATACTATACTACAAATTTTTTATGACCTTTTATGCCTTAATATACTATGATGTTTTTTTGACATTTTTATGCCATACTATACTATGACAATTTTGAAATTTTTATGCCATACTATACTATGATGCTTTTTGCCATTTTTTGCCTTAATATACTATGTTGTTGTATTCCTTACCATACCATGAGGTTTTTAAGACCTTTTATGCCTTAATATACTATGATGTTTTTTTGACATTTTATGCCATACTATACTATGACATTTTTTTACATTCTTATGCCATACTATACTATGACATTTTTTTACATTCTTATGCCATACTATACTATGACATTTTTTTACATTCTTATGCCATACTATACTATGACATTTTTTTACATTCTTATGCCATACTATACTATGACATTTTTTTACATTCTTATGCCATACTATACTATGTTGTTATATTCATTGCCATACTATGAGGCTTTTAAGGCCTTTTATGCCTTAATATACTATGATGTTTTTTTGACATTTTATGCCATACTATACTATGACATTTTTTTACATTCTTATGCCATACTATACTATGTTGTTATATTCATTGCCATACTATGAGGCTTTTAAGGCCTTTTATGCCTTAATATACTATGATGTTTTTTTTACATTTTTATGCCACACTATACTATGATATTTTTGACATTTTTATGCCATACTATACTATGACGCTTTTTGGCATTTTTATGTCTATACAATGTCGTTGTATTCCATACTATACTACAAATTTTTTATGACCTTTTATGCCTTAATATACTATGATGTTTTTTTGACATTTTTATGCCATACTATACTATGACAATTTTGAAATTTTTATGCCATACTATACTATGATGCTTTTTGCCATTTTTTGCCTTAATATACTATGTTGTTGTATTCCTTACCATACCATGAGGTTTTTAAGACCTTTTATGCCTTAATATACTATGATGTTTTTTTGACATTTTATGCCATACTATACTATGACATTTTTCACATTTTTATGCCATACTATACTATGACGCTTTTTGGCATTTTTATGCCTAACTATACTATGTCGTTGTATTCATTGCCATACTATGAGGTTTCTAAGACCTTTTATACCTTAATATACTATGATGTTTTTTTGACATTTTATGCCATACTAAACTATGACATTTTTCACATTTTATGCCATATTATACTATGACAATTTTTGACATTTTTTTGCCTTAATATACTATGTTGTTGTATTCATTTCCATACTATGAGGTTTTTAAGACCTTTTATGCCTCAATATAGTCTGATGTTTTTTTGACATTTTATGCCATACTATACTATGACAATTTTGAAATTTTTATGCCATACTATACTATGACGCTTTTTGCCATTTTTTTGCCTTAATATACTATGTTGTTGTATTCCTTACCATACCATGAGGTTTTTAAGACCTTTTATGCCTTAATATACTATGATGTTTTTTTGACATTTTATGCCATACTATACTATGACATTTTCTGAGATTTAAATGCCTTAATATATTATGTCGTTCCATGCCATACCATACTATGACATTTTTATCACCTTTTATACCTTAATATACTATGATGTTTTTTTGACATTTTATGCCATACTATACTATGACATTTTCTGAGATTTAAATGCCTTAATATATTATGTCGTTCCATGCCATACCATACTATGACATTTTTATCACCTTTTATACCTTAATATACTATGACGTTTTTTGACATTCATATGCCTTACTTCACTATGTTGTTTTATGCCTTTCTATACTATGATGATTTAATGATGTTTTATGTCTTACTATTGTGATGGAAATATGAAAATAAAAAGTTGACAAAATGATCAAGTTGTCTCTGTGTCTTTCAATACCATCTTTGCAAAAGTTCAGGCTATAGTCCCAACAGAGTGTAACTGCAGACTGAGGTCAAATAAAGAGTGTCCACGCACTTTATAGAGAAAGGAATAAAGGAGGCATTCTTATGCTATACTATGACGTTTTTTGGCATTTCTATACCTTACTATACTATGTTGTTTTATTCCTTACCATACTATGATGTTTTTATGACCTTTTATGCCTTAATATAGTATGACCTTTTTTTTGACATTTTATGCCATGCTATACTATGAGGTTTTTCAGCATTTTTATGCCTTACTATACAATGTCGTTGTATTCCATACTATACTACAAAGTTTTTATGACCTTTAACACCTTAATATACTATGATGTTTTTTTTGACGTTTTATGCCATACTATACTATGTTGTTTTATGCCATTTTTTTGCCATACTATATACTATGACATTTTTTGACATTTTTATGACTTTATATACTATGTCGTTGTATTCATTGCCATACTATGAGGTTTTTAAGACCTTTTATGCCTTAATATACTATGATGTTTTTTTGACATTTTATGCCATACTATACTATGACGTTTTTGACATGTTTATGCCATGCTATACTATTAGGTTTTTTAGCATTTTTATGCCTTACTATACTATGTTGTTGTATTCATTGCCATACTATGAGGTGTTTAAGACCTTTTATGCCTTAATATACTATGATCTTTTTTTGACATTTTATGCCATACTATACTATGACGTTTTTGACATGTTTATGCCATGCTATACTATTAGGTTTTTTAGCATTTTTATGCCTTACTATACAGTGTCGTTATATTTCATACTATACTACGAAGTTTTTGTGACCTTTAACACCTTAATATACTATGATGTTTTTTTTGACGTTTTATGCCATACTATACTATGTTGTTTTATGCCTTACTGTACTATGATGTTTTTTGCCATTTTTTGCCATACTATATACTATAACATTTTTTGACATTTTTTATGACTTACTATACTATGTCTTTGTATTCATTGCCATACTATGAGGTTTTTAAGACCTTTTATGCCTTAATATAGTATGATGTTTTTTTTTGACATTTTATGCCATACTATACTATCATGTTTTTTGGCATTTTTATGCCTAACTATACTATGTCGTTGTATTCCTTACCATACAATGATGTTTTTAAGACCTT